ATAAACAATTGCACATTTAAGAATAAACTTTCATTTTCAGAAATGCTAATCGAATCATCTCCCCATAACAGTACGTGAGTGTCTACAATATACGTAAATTAATCATTCTAAAAATAGCATTAAACAAATCGTTTCTTGGGACAGTGTATTTCGTACAAGAAAAAAAAGTAATGATATGCGTCTTCTATTTTTCCACAAGTGCATAATGGACTGTCAATGATGTTGCACCTAAAAAAATCTTTATTCAGAACGCAATTGTGTCTTAATCTAGTATGAATTACATTCCAGTAACGATCACCAAAAGAAAAAAAGGCAGGAGTAGGTGTTTTTTGAGAGTTTATACAATTTTTGAAAGAACCTATAGTAGTGGATTGTCTTGTTTCAAGAGGTAAAGAGTTCCATTCCCTTATTGCCATTGGGACAAAAGATGATTTATAAATATTTAATCTACACTTAGGGATGCAATAATTTTGTGATTGTCTTGTTACGTAATTTGATTCATGTGATCGAATGTTTGGAAATATTTCTTTCAGATACTCGGGTACCATATTATGAAAAATTTTGTACATAGTTGTTCTTACTTTCGACATTCTTCTAATAGCAAGTGGTTCCCATCCAGTTTCAAAATAGAGAGAATCTCGCGATGCTAAAGAAGTTAATCCAGTGACTATTCTTGCTGCTGCTAACTGTAATTTTTCTAGTTTTTCGGAATCTTGACTAGAACACCCACACCAAACTTCAGTTGCGTATTCTAACTGAGGTCTTACAAAAGTAGTATATAAAAGAGCTAAAGTTTTAGCACTTACCCTGAACTGCAATTTTTTAAGTAGACCTAATTTTTTATATGCATTGGCAACGATAGAATCAATGTACGCTGACCATGTAAAGTCATGTGAAAAGAGAATACCTAAGTGGTTGTGTGATGATACAAAATCTAAATAACAGTCTTGAAACTTAAGCCTTGGTAGTTCAACATTTTTCTTAGTACTAAAAAAGATAGCTTTGGTTTTCGAAGGATTAAATTTCAATGGCCACTGTTTAGACCACTGTTCAAGTTGATTTAAATCATAATTCAAGCCTACTTGAATATCATGTATATATTCAGAACAGTTCTGTAAAGAATTATCATCAGCATACAACCTGCTTAAACTCGACATATTTTCAGCAACATCATTGACATATATCAAAAATAAAAGTGGTCCCAATACAGACCCCTGAGGGACTCCAGCATGTAAAGGTTTAAAATTAGACATAGTATTCCTATGCAATACCCTTTGTGTCCTTAAATCTAAATAACTTTGAAACCATAGCAATAATTTATCGCTAACACCATAAGTTTGTAACTTAAATAGAAGACCTTTATGCCATACCCGATCAAATGCCTTAGACAATCACAAAAAACCATACAACAGTGTTTTCCTTCATCTATAGCCTTAGCTATGTAATTGTATGTCTCAATAAGCTGATAAACAGTTGAATGAGTAAGTTCTGCTATGACCGTTTTTCAAATTCGTGGGGAGGGGGAAGGGAAACAAAAAATGTACCTGAAAAACTTTAACGAGCAAAACAGAAAAAAAAAGGTTTTAAACAAACAAACCAAAAAAAAAAGACCAAACTCCAATAACATATCGTGGTGGGGAGAGGGGGTCTTTTTGACAAAGGGCAAGCCTTTTGACAATTTCACAAATACACATGGACAGTTCTCTGTAACTATGTGATCATCATAAGTTTTGTTAAACATGCCTGGGGGGTTATCTTAAAGAAATCGAGATGAAAGTAAATTCATGCATTTTTTTATTCAGGCGGTGGAGAACTGAAGAAGAAAATACAGAATTATCAAATACGAGTTACCTCTCTTAGCAGATTCCTCCTTGATACGGATCACGTGGATTACGTACGTCTCTTCACCCCCACCTCTGTGTGCATGTAAAATCACCTCTCCCCATCTTTTCCTTTAGTATGCATAAAGGGTTTTGTGTACCAGTTTTTATGATGAAGCAATAAAAAAAAAATGGTCTAAAGACTGATCTTATGTCAATGAGTCAGACTGGTCCAAAGACAATGAATGATCATTGTTTAATGATTTCTCTGTTCATAACTCAGTTTTGGTCATGAAGTCTCCAAAATGTCAAAGAACCAGTAGCAAGTAAATTTGGTTGATTATGAATTTGAGATCAGACAGGCTCGAGATGAACCATCGATGTAGTTGCAGATTTAGTTAATTTCAGTGTGTTTAATTGATATAATCCATATAATAATTGATGTTAAAGATTTCTTTTATAAAAAAAAAAAAAGAGATGAGCAGATCCATCTGTTGCAGGGAGGGGGTCCCCCCCCCCCTAAAATTGCATATAGCAAAGAAGGCTTATACTGAATATAACTTTGTAACTACAACCCCCGGAAAGTAATTAAGCTCCAATACGATATAAAAATTACTATAAGTAAATACAATTCTATATGTGTTTGCCCCCCTCCTCAAGGATTAAGAAATAATTATTCGATATGACACCAAAAATTCAGAAGAGAAGAGAGAAGCTTCAAATTCTGAATTTATCCTGAATTAATATTTTGTTTGGTTTTTATTGCAGTGATAACAGTGATACAGAGAGTCTTCATGCTATCAATATCTGCACTAGTATATACATTATTTCCGTACTACATGTATATTTCACGTACATGTATACGTCTTCAAATGTTGCGTCGCTCATTTTTAGGTCATCTGAGTCACTTGGGTGACCTATTGCCATCTGTTTTGTCTGTCGTTCTTCGTCATGGTTCCTGTTTAGTATTTACATTTAATTTGAGCGTGAAAGATAAGAGATTTTTTAGTATATCGAAGCTGAAAATTGGCTGGTTGCTAGGGAAATTTCTTTACCCATGTTTCCAAAATATTTTTTCTTTTGCATACATGGTTCATAGGGCAAAAGAAAATTAAGTGTCGAAAATCATCAAATTCTGAGAACCCTCATATATCACCTACATGCCTATTTTTGCATGATTTTTACAAAGAACTGTACCTAAATACATTTGTACTTTTGAAATTACATGGTATAAGTGAAATTTACAACCTTCGACATTTAATGGAGCATTGTTGGCAGAAATATATTTGAATATCAATAGGATAAAAAAAAAATCTTAATCGACACATAATTAAGCGTGTTCGTCCAGCAAGTTTTGCTTATTCGTCGGAATCGTGTACATATGGCAATGAATTACATATTAATTTAATCTTGTTCACCACATGCACATATATAATGCATCATATGTTGTTGAAAAAAAGCGGATCCTGAATTTCCAGCTGGTGGTGGAGATGGGTGGGAGTGAGCGAACGGGAAAAAGTTAAATGAAAAAGGACCCTCTCGATACTTGTGGTTTAAACATCAATGAGTTTAATAAGACAAGTTTATCAAGACATTTCAATTTCAGAGGAGTGCGCGCCAATCCCTCACCCCTCGCCCTCACCCCACTCAAAATTTGCAACTGTAAGAAGGCTGTTCGGAAACTTCTGTCATAACTTTTTATACTTAATGTCATATTATATTCAAATTTGGACATGTTTAACAATAGATTCGAAAGGTTTGAATTTAAAGTTTGAAATATATGTCATGATATATTTCAAACTTTCATATTGATATGAGTTTCGATTTTAACATGAACATTCTTGAGAAATTAAAGTTGATTAATAACTTGTACCAAAAATATTTACAATTTAAACACATGATATAACTTCCACTAAAGCATCTTCGAGCACGGCAACGGCCCAACTGCAAAATGTGTTATCCATTAATGATAAAACATTTTTTTAAAGGACTCTAAAATTTAAAGGTTATCTCAAGGTTTTGAATCACTGCTTTTTAAACCTTTAAAAATAGCTCTGCATCAACATTTTACTCACGATTTACCATGTAATGTTTATTTTTAGGTTTAAAGGGTCAAAATCTATACAAGTTTGACTACAAAGTACTAAAAATCCGAAATTCGAAAGAAATTTAAGATTTCGAACGAAAGGTGCATTCTTTTTGTTACCAATGTATATAAAAAAAAAAAAAAATAAATGAAATAAGATAAAATGCTTTTGAATAAGTTTTTAGTTTTCAAGCACTTGTATTTCAATTTCATATAATGCAAAATGCATGTGTTCAATAATTTTTTAATCTTCTCCTCACATATTTATATTTACACTCTGACATATTGACGTACTCAAAGGATAAAAAAGTGGGAAAAAAAGATGTTTAAAAAATAAAATTCTCCTGCCGTCAACATCCACATTTTATGGAATTCGGACTTCAAGCGATGTAAACTTTGACCCGATTAATTTTTGTGAAATATAATTTTACTGTTTATACAATTTATTTATTTATATTTATTTATATAAGTATTTTTAAACATGCATGTTTATTATTGTTAAAAAAGCAATTTAGTACCAATCAACAACAATAATTCTGTCTAAATATCGCGCAAACCAAACTTTATTTTTACTCCGTGCATCCGTGTTACATGTACCTTATTTAGAGGAGAGAGAAAATGACAATTTTTTAAGTTTTTTTGTTCACAATTAAAAACATTTTATTTTTTTTTCTTTTAGATTCATCAAAAAATTAAAATAAAGTGTCGACGCAATTCCGGCAAAGATCTATTTAACCATGACTTTGTGAAGTTTTTAAACACGCCTCGGTTAGAATTCATTGTACAGTCAATATTTACAGTGCAGTCTCAATGAGCCATATCGCTCTAAACAAATGACCTACTCTCAGCTAGCAATCATGGATTTCAAAATTCAAAATATACTAACCAGTCTTGAAGAACCATGAAAAAAAGGCATTTAAAAGGCGTTGGCTTGTTCAAATATAAATATATACCGGTACTTTTAATTTCCTTTTAAATTTGGACAAGTCCTTATATAGTGAGCTGCTTTAGATCTCCTACATCATTCCCCCGACTGAACGCGTTGAGGAGGGTGTACTAAACAGCGCTACTGTGGGTGACAGTGTAGCGTGTTTCGAGGAGGGACTCAATGTTCAAAATGTCGGTGTCCCCCCTCGTGGGGGCTCTGTGCTGTGTTCTCCTTGTGTCCTGGGCTTCAGCAGGAGCAGATGAAGATAAAGAAGCTAGGTCACCCGAAAATGAGGACAAATTCAAGGATTATTTCGAATTTTATATTAAAGAATCCAATCATTCAGGTAATTCATTAAATGAAACTAACACAAAAATTCAAATTCTCAATAAAAGAAGTTAATGTTAACTTTTTGGAGGATTCTGAAAAAGGGAATTAAACTTGTGTAATCTTTGTGACTATTTTGCAATTAAACTTTATACATACTTCATTATTTGCTATATATTAGTGCCCTCATATTAACAAGGGCATTATTTGCTTATATTCTTTTGCATTGAGTATATATTGATTATCCATTGTTGATGGTATATCTAATGTTAGAACTTTGTATTGATCATGACTATAGATCTATATGACTTAATTGCCGTATGGTCTCTGATTTCCTGATTTCAGTGTTATTCTTAAATTAAGTAAAATATATTTACAAAATGAATTGGTATATTCTAATTGACTGCATTTTTTTTTTGTAAATTTCTTTATATACAAAACAGAAGATGCAAATTTGGTATACATGTGTGCAGGAAATGTATGGGATGTGAAATACATGGCGTGGTTTCCGTGAAATTAGCTGCTTGAAGTTTTAAATTAAAATGTATTTTATGCACCTCAGTATTTAATTAATCTAGCAAAAACAGATGATTGCTTGTATTTTGTGTTTTCTCCCCTCCTGCAATATTGTGAAAAGTTACACAGTATAACTGCTGAACCAAAGCAACAGGACCCTACAATGCAAATCTTATAATATCTGAGCGTATGCAACAGGACAAACTTTAAAACCGGCTCTTACTATGAGGCTTTGATGCTCATCTTATTTTTAAAAAAGAAATAAAAAATCAGGAATGATTATTTTTTTCAACCTCTGCACCAAAATCATGAGTTTATTTTCTTTCTTTCCTTTTTGTGAATTATTTACATTTCAAACCAAACGGCGGACTCTATTGAAAATTTTATTGACATTAAAGAATTGTGTCCTTGGGGCAAAAGGTAAATGCTAAATTGATTATAAAGGATAACGGATGACTGAATTCACTAGAATCCTGGGAAAGTTGTTTGATACATTCTAATGCATTTTTATGGTCGAATGAGTGTCAATTTGTTTGAGATCAAACTGAGAACGAAATTTGCACGTGGTAGAAAATTTTTCCTGTATCATTATTTCATTTATCGCGCTCACTTATCAAGCTGGACACTGTCAGACTGAGCTTTATAACACAGACATCATGATCTATTTTTAAACTTTCCTTTGAAAATTTATCTGCATCTTTCAGAATTGAAATGTTTGAACTAATTACATTGCATAATGAATAGTTATTGATCACTTATAATCTCCTGACTTAGTTAAATTTATACACGTTTTCTGAATTATACAAAATGGTTGACCATCATGACAAACTATATACATGTAATTTTATTTCGTGCACGTCTGTAATTCTCGAAGATGGGAAGGGGGACATTTGATAAGAATGGTTATATAGTCATTTTCGGCAGTATAATTCATTTAATAAGGAAAAGGGGAGGGTGAAGAGTGTCGACACTCGCATGAACCAACTCCTCTCTTTCACATTGACCTATTCCTGCAACTTACTTAGGGGTCCCAAAGTCAATTTACAACATATAGGAAATAGTGCTAAAAATCTTTGGGGGCCCACACCTCTCCACTCCCCTTGGATCCCCTCCCTGTTGGATCCGCCAATGATTTTTCTTTTCTTCCTAGCTTAGAGTTGAAGACATGGTGATTTTTGTTCTAATCAATGCAAGCTTAAAAAAAAGAAGATAAAATGTAATTTGTGGGTACTTTTCCCCATTTAAGTCTTTAGGAAGATAGTGAGAATTTCAAAGTAATTTGAAATCTAGGTAATTTACTGAACCAAATACTTTGTCAATGGCATTTATTTCAAACTGTAACGAAAAGAAAAGCAAAATTGTGGGCGTTAGTTCTGATCGACCACAACTGATAAAGTTTAAGAATTTCACATTGGACGAGAAGTACCCCAAGATTTTGAATAAAACATGTCTTAAGTAACACACCCATTTAATTATTACTCTTGTTGGTACTATTTAGGCTTCATTAAGCATTTAAAATCCATATTTAGTACTTTCGATACCCCCCCCCCCCAAAAAATGCAGAGAGAGAGAGAGAGAGGTTGTCAATTTTTAACCTGGAGAAGCTTACAGGTGTATATCAGGATTTCTATTTACAATATTTAATCGTAAGCTTTAAGAATAATTTTAATTGAGTTCAGAAACCTTCGTTTTAAAATGCACAGAGGTCCTATATAGAACCTTTAAAAACATAACCAAATTTAAATTTGACAAGGTCTTGAATTAATCTTCAAGATACACATTCGACTTCAATGACACTAGGTCCAAAACATATTGACTTTCCTCGAGGGTGCGAATTCGGTCCAGCATTACCCTCTTGGAAGCAAATATATTCATTAGGACACTGTTTGTTTAGATATTTATTTGAAGTGAAACTCGTGAAAGAAGTATGAAGTTCAAGTCCAAATATGTATAGTGGGTCAAAAAGGATAACTGTCGTTGCATAAGTCATAATCTGCATTGGCGAAAACGTGATCTAATATTCAACTTCTTTGAAATAGCAATTAATTAAAAAAAAAAGTAATTATAACATAGCAGACTTCGTTGTATAATTAATTTCAGATCCACGTTTCCCCATATGACATTCTTTAATGTGTCTTCTCTCGGTCGATTCACAGTGTTGGAATTGCATGGACATCGTCCCTATTAAAAAGAGAAATTCTCTCTCTCTCTCTCTCTCTCTCTATGAGAAAGTGTAACTTTCCTTACATATTTATTCTATTTCATCAACTACTGGAACTAAACTATCTCAATGTAACTTATGGTCGTGGGAACCGGGGGGCACGGGGGGGGGGGTGCTCCCCAATAATTTTGCCGATATATTGAGTACTATAGAAAATATAGATACTATATGCTTGTGCCCCCTCAGTAAAAAAACGTCTGGTGACCTTTGTTTGTTTTTGTATTTGTTGTTCTTTATTTTTTTTTTTTTTTTTTTTTTTGCTTGTCAAGGAATTTTTGGTAGTTGATAGTGCCCCCTCAACTGTGCCCCCCCCCCCCCCCAACTGAAATTTCTTCCTACGGGCCTGTTACTAATGCCTTTTATTCTGTTGTCATGAAAATTTGTATGAACTGTTTTATGTACTTAATGCTTTCATTACAATCATTATAGGTAATATTATAAATTCTATTCAATTCTTGATTTTTTTTTTCAGGGGAGGGGTGCAATATGGAACTTGCCAAGATGTGTCTTTTAGGTTTGTCCAATGGTACACTGACAGCTATGATTTCTAGTGACCCAGAGGAGAAAAAACGAGCTTGCGAGTAAGGCTCAAATAACATTAATCCTACGGATATCTTATTTGTCAATTCTTTTTATGATACAGATATCAAAAAGCATTTTTTGTTGAAAAAAAAAATTCAAGGGTTAAATATACAGGTTTAATGAACATATATCTATCTAACCACGTTATAAATAAAATATAAATAAATACAATTTCTTACAAATAAAGATAATAATTCACATGCCATAATAATGAAACTTTGTTCATAATTTTACTGACTGAAACTGAATCAGGTTTTTAAGTCTAATAAGAGGCATAAAATAACTATTATGTCTCTGGTCTCATCCAAATTTAAAAACAAACAAACATCGATCCCAATATTTCTTTTTCAATTTTTCAGAATGGTGTGGAGAACCAAGATGTGCATTGAAGGAGTCATGATTTCCTGTCCTGAGCGTCATGGGATGGATAAAATCTTAGATCCGTACGTCCCTCTTCTGACTTCCATTGCAGAAACAGTTTGCAATGAAGGAATGGAAGATGACACGGATGAAGATGGTAAATCCTCTATATATTATTTTGCTGTTTGTCATCTCATATTAACATTAGCTTGTGTGTTAAGCTCGTTACATTGCTTTTAAGATCGGAATTGCAAGTTAACATAAAGTTTTAAAGAATTTAAATCAAAGGCAAAAATGTCCCTTTGATTCGAAACATTTCAGTACGAAGTAATAAACAGTATAGGCTCACAAGTCACGTGACGGGGTATGAAAGGTGCCCGGGAGTTTTTTCATCAGAACGATCAGGCTCATCAGTTAGCGGTCGTCGTGGTAATGCTTTCAAAGACATGATATATATGTTAATTTAATTTAAAATGTGCTGAGATTTTTTTTTTGTGAAATAATTTTGTAGAAGCAAATTGTAAACACGTTGTAAAACAGACATTTTTATCTATTTTCGAAAACGTACGGGTCAAGGCTCTTCCTGGTACCGTGTGCAAAAATCATCAAATTTTACTCCACTCCAAACTCTTCATATAAGAGTTCGTCAGGTCACATGTACTATTCTGTTTGATAAGATTGATGTTATCGTTAGAGATCATTACTTTATCATCATATCATGTTTATGAATGTAAACAATGTAAACACTGACTGATAAATGAGAAATTCTTGGAATGGTTATCTATCTATCTCTCTATCTATCTATCTATCTTTCTTTCTTTGAAATGTCCTGCTGTTTTTGTGAAATCGCTAAATATTTCCAATAATCGCTAACGCGCTTCATGAAATATGCTGGCGTGAAGCGACGTAGTTCATGTCCTCGTGAATCTTCAAAAATTAAATTTATTTCTTGAGTAAATACATAAAATAATTAGTAAAGCTAGTATAGGTCACACATATTTCAACTTAATGAATCTATAATCAGGTCTAGGCGGCCTCTGTTTTTGGAGGATAGATTTTATCCTCTGAAAACAGAGGATAGCAGTCTTGCCACCTACTGGAATTTTCAAAACTAAGGGCAGTTAACTCTTAGGCAAACAAATAACAGCAACTCTTGCATTTATGAACCGTATGCCGATTTCGAAATCAGAACAAATAAAAGGTACAATTTCCTATGATGATGGATAATTCCAGATATTAAATCAATTTATCTATATTTTTGTAATTGCCGTCAATCAGTTATTTGGTATACAGCTTGGAAAACAAATATTGCTTTTACCTGCCTGCGACTGGGGTTATAAATTATAACCACGCTGATTTTCCAGTACCATAATTATGTGATAAGCAGTTAAGAAATTTGGATGAACAATTTTTATTGAAAAATTAAGTTTAATCATGTATTATTTCTTTCATTTAATAATTCTTTAGCACATCACTTTTAATATTTTATTTGTTTTTGTATACACATGGCTGTATGAATATATGTTAATTTCTTAGTAAACATGTCAAATTATTTATTTTATTTACTTATGCTATTCAAATTATTTTTTTATTTTTATAATTATTCATTCAATCCATTTATACTTTTATTTGCTTAAATTATAAGGCAGAGTATATTTTGCGTTTTAAATACGCTTAAAATGCGTTTCATTTTGTGTTTCCTTTTTTTGAATTAAAAGAAAATATAAAAGAAATATTAAAGTCCTCTTTTATTTGTATAAATAGAGAAAAATCATAAAAAATAAAACAAAATAACAAGAAATATTCAGTAATAATGGAGCGCAAAAAGTGCTAACTTTGAAAATAAATTGCAAAATATCTAGACATAGAATCTCAAATCGCCACATACAATCGATAGTTCAATGTTTGAACTTTTATTTGCATGTACTCTGGTGTTGATTAAAGGTAGGCACGAGGTGTTTGAAAATTACCTGTGTTATCCTCTGAAATCGGAGGATAAACTATCCCACAATGCAACGGGGTTTCCATATATGGTAAAAATTTTGACCGCCATATTGAATTTAGCTATCCTCCAAAAACGGAGGCCCGCAGACCTGATAATTACATGGAAATTTAAATTTAAAAAATGCAAATTGTATTTAAAGCACAGCACTTTCGATGATCACTTTAACTTTTAATTTGAATTAGGGTATGTCATTGCAATATTGAAATTTGTTCATGACCTCCATGCAGTATGCATTTATCACACGACTGTCGGAACAAGTGACCAAACTAAATTCAATACAGAGTGGGGTATACTATGTTATTTTAATAAATATGTCATTTGATAATATAATAGATTTACAAAAATAATTTAGGTTAAAAATGTATCTATTTTTTCCACTTCTATATTCCAGGGCTCGACATTAACTTTTTTCCTACTTGTCCATTCGGACAAGTGACCAAGACATTTACTTGTCCGAACTTCAACTTCACTTGTCCGAAAATTTTTCAATAAAGATCTAATACTGTCAACTTGAAAACTAAAATAAAGTCCATTACACATAACATGTGCTTGATTTATTTGTGATGTTATTAATAAACAACAAACACATAAAACGAAATTTTATCAGACAACAACATATATGTCCACAAGTGAACCTGTCAACATCAAACAAAATCCAAACTTTGTTAAGTTCGTAAGTTCCATGCCTTTTCAGTAGTATGCAATTAGTGAACTTCGATCCCAATCGAATGTGAATCGAAGTCTGGTTTTTATGTACAGCTTCCGTCTTGAAACTACCGATTATCTTTCAACAGTCGTTTTTTATTATTTAGAGACTCCTTTACATTAAAATGCACTTGTCCAATCGGACAAGTGCCCAGCAATATTCACTTGTCCGTAATTTTTTCTCACTGGTACCGGACATGCGTTAATGTCGAGCCCTGTATTCCACTGGTTTCTTTATAGTACTTGATTGTTATAATAGCTGTGGTTTCCTCCATGTCAGTATATGAAATTTGAAATTTTATCTCACTTTTGAATTCAGTGTTGTGTAATTATAAGCCAATTTAAAAGAAGAGGTAAATGCATTCTATCCTCTTGCACATATTTTTGGGGGCATAAGTTATTTAAACATGGTCTGTAGAAAGTGCTTTGGATCTAAAAATTAAAATGCCAATTTTCAATGGATAATAATTTTATGAGATATGATTATGTATAAGTATAAAGTACTTTTGACAGTTTGTTACTTGACATTAGGATAATGTATGTAAATTCTTATTCAACATAGTTGTTATATTTCTAAATATATGATTGATTTACATTGAAAATTTTTTTATACCTGGTAATGTAATTTGGAAAAAAAAATTACAAAAGAATCAATTGAAGACAGATTCTGACATTTTGCAAAGGAATGTATTATTGGATTTTGATTTTCGGATGGTCAGGTTTGTGACTACATAGGTCAGATGGTACATTTATAAGTGAAAAAGTCGGAGGTATTAAAACTGGATGGGTGTTTTTTTTCTCTCTGTCATTTGATGTATTTAAATTTGAGATGTGCTGCTAATTTAAGACTAACATTAAAAGAAACATATTGATGTTTTATAAAAGCATCAACTGAAGGAGATAGCTATTCAATCTTCCCAGGTATTAGCTTTTACTGGGGTTAATATCAAGGTTCCTCTCAAGGTAATGCTGAGAGTGCATCCCATAAATTGCCATAATTTTTGTCTGTGTCATAGGCCAGATTGTATTACCATGAATACAGTCCTATACACAGTACAATGCAGAGTAAATGTCTGATTTGACCCTTTTATACAGAAGTGGCCCAATTATAGCAGCACACAATAAGTAGTGACAACCATCAGTCACGATTTTATTGAAATTTTTTTTGTAACATTTTCACAAGTTTTGACCGAGGTTGTTTAATTTTAAAGTACAGAACAAGTCAGTATCCTAGATGTACGTTGAACTTAATTTCCCATGTATATGAGGTAAAATGTTCACATATGCACAGAAAAAAGTGTGTTGAAGTACATGTATTGATTTTTAGAGGAAAAATATAATCAAAATACCTAAGGCTTAATGTAAATAATATTGCTAAGATATTACCAGGTATATATTTAGAATTTATAAATTAGGTCAGGATATAAAGGCAGTTCTGGCAGTGTGGGACAGGTCTATGTACAATTTTATTTGCCATGTAAATTCAAAAGTAGTACAGCTTCTTGAATGTGAAATCAGAAGTTAAATTGTCCTGGGTTGCCAAGTTTGAATTTGTTATCAATTAAATGAGGGGGTTTTCCTGAATTATGAGGAATCACTGGGATTGTCTCTTTATATAAGGAGATCCAGAATTTTGTGATAGCTAGAAGAGAATATGAGACAGGGGTCAGACTCCAAATTTAAAAGCATTGATTCCCCCACACCCCACCTTGCAAAATTCATTATTGGTATAATTCATCATACTCATAAATAGTTGAACATTATTAAATGTTTCTCAAGAAATAGAACAGAAAAAGTTGTAATTAGCTCTTATTTTGGGGTTTAGATAACATTAATTCAAGATGTAAAAATCTTGTATCTAATTAATTTTCTCAGCCACATTTTCTCAACTGTACAGACAATTATTGTTTTTCTTTTAGTTGAGAAATTGATTGAAGTTTACATATATTTTAAAAATTTTCTTTGGTAGCTTGAAATTACACTTATTTATAAGTGTAAGGGCACCTTAATGTATTTGTACTTGTATTTGTGTGTACATACTAATGTATTGGTATAATTACAAACAAGATTTTGAAGGTGCTTGTTAATAATTAGTACATATTCATAAGATATAAAATATTTATACACTAAAATATATGGATCTGTCACTTCCAATAAAAGCTTTTCCTCTGGAATGTTCTGCATAAGTGAAAATCTAAAGTACTACTTAATGTTCTGGATTTTGACCATGTAAATCATCTAAACTTTTCTTTTATGTAAATATTAGTTTTATTCTAGTAAGCGAAGTTTTTTCATTCAGACATTTAAATACCTTTCAGACTGCTTTCAAGCCTTTCAAAACAGTTGAATGCAGCAGCAATGTAGAAAAATACAGCATTTATATAAAGCTTTTCCAAAGTTGATTTGATGTTTGCTCTGAAGTTTCATATCAAGACACTACATATAATGAGTAGTTTGTAATTTGTAAAATGTATTTCAAATGTTATAAATATGAACATGTTTAGCACTTTGATTTGTATTTGCAAGATAGGACCTTGTTCAGAAATGTAATCATGGTAATAATAAAATATAAACAATGATACAACTTTATGTTGAAATGTTCCATCTTTTAATTGAGGATTATTGCTAAGAGTAAGAAAAAGGCTGAAAGAGAGAGAGAGAGAGAGAGTGAAGAAAAAAGGGTAACAAAATTTTTGCTTTAACACTAATAGTTTGAAGATTAACAAATGAAAAAAAAAAACTTTTATAGAACCCAATGAAGGCAATGGACAGGGCGAAGAGAGAGATACACAAGATTCCTGGTCAATGTCTATGGAGGAGAAAAAGGGTTGTGATCTCAACTTGGTGGGAATGTGCATCTCTGGTTTCTTTTATACAGCTGTTGGTGCTTCACGTAAAACATCACCATTTTCATTCACTGATGGACTGTGCTGGTAAGAATTAATGGTTTTAAATGAAAACTGTAATGTTTGATATACAGCTGAATTTTGGTATCTCGAACACCCATATCTGGAATACCATGGAAATATCAAAGTGATTTGAAAGTCCCAAGCTCTTTCTTTAAGGATTTTACCCTCTATATCTCAAATCCTCAGATATCTTAAAATTTTCATAAGTCTCATTGTTTTCGCGATAGCAAGGTTTGAATGTACTTATTTGTATGCATGAATAGCAATCTCATACTTCATTATGTTTGTAATTTTTAGAAATTGAAAATTTAGATATTTTATACAGTGTACATATATTTTTTAAATTTTCTTTTTTTTTTTTTTTTTTGCTTTCTCTATAATAAATCTCATCAAAAATGATGTTGATGAATCTTTTATTTGTTAGGCAAACAGGGACAAGTTTATCTTGTCTTGCGTCCACAATGCCAAAGTGTCGTCATAAGAAGATAAGAAACTTTGTTAGCATGATGGCAGCTGAGCTTCAAATCACTCAAGAGGCAGCATGTAAGAAATCTAAAGGCTGTAACTTTGAGAGAGCAATGGAAAATATGATGGCATTCCAGAATGCTGTGGATTCTCCTCTTGTCCAGATGCAGGGATCCCCTTTGTCTTGCAGGTTAGTGCTCCAAGACAGCTACATGTAGAGGCAGCATTGTAAGGTTCACTCTAAATTCATTTTATTTATTATGTGTATTTTCAATCTGCATGTTGAAGGATTACTTGTATAATGGTTTATAACTTCTTACAAAAAAAGAAGTGCAACAAATTGTTACACATACTATGTACAGATGAATTGAAAGTAATTATTGGCTTCATATACCCATTTGTTTCCCCCTCAATTTTTTTTTTTAAGATGAAAAACTTGAAATTTCTTTCAGTATTATGGATGTGACATTAACAATGACCATGGCTGACCTAAAGGACTGTCCACAAGAGGTGTACTCAATGGTCAGTGGAGGAATTCATGTAATGTACAAGGCCAGAGAAGCTGTCTGTATTAAGGGGAAGTATCCTTATATTGCCATGCCTCCCGTCCCAATGCTGGATGAGGTGACTGCACTTGGAGCTATCGTTAACAGTCCATTTGCAACAAAAGAAAATGTTTGTCCGTAAGTACAGAATCATTGAGTCCGGATTTCATTAGAAGAAAGAATTGTAGATCAAGATCTGTAAATTCACAATAAAGCATGCAGAATGGGAAATATTTGTAGCCCATGAGCCTTTATAGAATACTTTTCTCATGTTCTATTATTCCATAATGAATTTGAACCAAGTAAAATATGATATGTTATTAGAAATGTTTATTTTGTATCATGATTTTAGGTTATACAGAAGTGTCACTAGTTTTTGTGTAATATACTTAATGCCAGTGTTGTAACATGCATGCATATATTCTTTCCTTATTTTTCCTGCACTTTTTGCCCATGCATTCTTGTATATATTTAATAAATGCCTAATTGTACAATGGGCAGTGGAAATAAACTGCAAATAAACATATCTTATCTCTTATCATTAGGTTATTTGAGATAGCCATGAAGAAGCTGATGACGATGAAGTCAGACGACGTCAAGCCAGACTCTGTAATGAATTTGATGGACACTAGCATGAGAATGATGGGAGAATTATGTGCCGATGAGAAAATGTGGGCAGATCTGATGAACCGCACTCTAATGAATGATCCCAATCGACCATGCATGTTTACAGAATCGACCATGTGTGACATAGATCGTGCTAGAGTGTGCGTTGCCCAGTCTCAGCTGGATATGCTGCTCGGTGATGTGGAAATGTTTGGATGGGAGCCTGTATGCAGGTATGTTAAACATTGTTGATCAATAAACAAAAACATCTTAATTAATATGAAATAGTTTTTCAAAAGAAGAGAATAATGCTTGCTTAAATACATCTGTGTCTAATCATTCCTGTTCAAAAAGGATAAATTTGAATCGGACAAGAGGAGGGTCTAATCTTTGACACCAATAGACAAGCTGAAGAAAAAAAAATCAATTTATCAACTTGACTTTATAATAACTATTAAGTAGCATATTTTTAACAAGTACCCAAGTAAAAAAAAATTAGTCGATAGTTGGTAGAACCAAGCAAGTCTAGTACTTGAATATTCATTGACATCCGTACTTAAATAGTATTTAATTTACTGCCAGAACATCTACAAAATTTGTGCATGTGGATCTTAGATAAAAAAAAACAATGTGTTGAATTTCCCAGGCATATCATTTGGAATTCTAAAACACTATTGCTGAGATATCAATTGCCTTAATAACATGGCTTTGATTTTGTTATTGAATGAAGTTCAATCTTTTATTTATACAGTGGCATTGAGAAGATGACAAGATGTGTACAGTATATGACAAATGGATGCAAAAATTCCTCAGAAGTGACCATAGAAAGAATCAGTCCAAAAGTGAGGGAGATTTTCTCTGCCGCTGCTGATCACTGCCCAGTCAAAACCTTATTGGAGATGCGAGGGGCATGTTACCCCAGGAAATGTAACATTCACCATGCCCTCAGCTGCTTCAGCGTTCCAACTGAACGTGATATTGCTTCTGGCCAGACTTGCAGGTTTGTATGTCAGCTAAAATGGTAGTGGTGGGGAGGGGTTGGGGGAAGAGGATATCGGTCATCATTTATATTAAAGATATACTTTAGACTGTATATGCATGGTTATGTCAAATTCAGAAATCAGTACAAGTAAAAAGTTTTTGCAGACTTGACTGTTTAATATTAAGTCATAGTATTTTGTGCATTTAGAGCAATTCTTTAGAATGCTATATGTGACTGTATACATTTTTGTGTGAAAGTGAGAGCTAAATATTAGGGTATTGATAGGGACGGTATATATGTTCAGATGACTGGTTGTCAGTTCTGGATTTTATTTGACTTTTAAATTTATATTAAATCCATTTCAGTTTCATCAACAAAACACTTAGCTGCATAACAGGGAACATTAATGGATGTGGAATGTTGGAATCTGCCCAGCCTGTGGCTTACGCACTAAAGAGATACCTAGACTGGCTCAAACCTTACTGCATGGACATTGTGGCTGACCAGATGCTAAAAAGTCTGCCAGAATGCAGTGTCAAGTACCTGGATGGGTTCAATTTTGTCCTGACCCACTCCACGAATTTTATACAAGACTTCTGTGGCTTCCACATGCACATGGCTGATCAGTGTGATGATATGGAAGATTTACCAGCCTTCCCTACATACAGCAAAGCCAAGCTCTATTCTCGGGCTGCTATGATTTCATGGATGTGTCAGAAAAGTAAGTGCATCAGAGTTTTAAAATGTTGTCTTTTTGTAAAACGGTCCTTTTAAAATGAGGTTTATGGCAAGTAACTTTGAACTAGAATCTTGAACTCTCCCATTTCATTAAACTCTGCCCTATATGAGTACTAATATTTAGAAATGATAATTTAAAGAAACAAATTTAAAAATAACAGTTAGAATATTTTAGATGTAATAAATTGTTTCTTGTAGAGGGTTTTGGTAAGGTGATGAATGAGACGATGATAAAGATGAGAGTAGAGGAGCTATCCATGGAATCCAGAAATGTGTCAGGTACAACATTTCTTCCATAGGAAGGTTTTAAAAGATCTATATGCTTACAATACCAGGAAATCTAATGTAAATGTGCTCAATATTTCAGAAATGGAGATGATGAATTATGAAATGGCCGGGTCTTGTTTGACCACTTACATGCTTCGGCTTTTAGAGTTTTTCACTTTACCCATTCCTCAAAGGAAAACCCTATGCAGGTACAATTCAGTTCTAACTTGTAAATGATATGTACAAGTATATACTGTAGTTAATATACATCGTCATGTAAATTTGAATCAATAGACAGTGTTTCCATTAATGCAAATCTCTGTATAATTTATGCATAAAAAATACTTTTTAACCTCTAAAACACCACCCAGAGGGTTATCATGAAGCAGTTAAAAAAAAAACAAAACATATTTTAAAAGTTAGGTTCAGTGTTGTTGCCCAGATGGAATCATTCTATAAAGCTACATTTGAAGTTTATAGAAATAAATAATTGCTTTAATCATGTTAATCTGTTAATTTCCTATTGGCAGCAATTGGAATTAAGGACAGAGACCAACATATCAACATTGACCGTCTATTAAAATTTTCGAACGATCTATCCAATTGTAAACAAATGTTAGCATATTTACTTCTGTTTGGCGTAGTCAAAAAGGCTGCAGATCATAATAATAAGATCAGGGATGCTCAAATCATAAGTGAACGTTTTTGCAAATCATTGAAACAACTTTCAGAGGTCGCCTCTTGAGTGACGTATTCAACGACAAACCCAAATGGTGGAATCGGTAAAATGTGTAAATAAAAGAACAACAAACACAACTATTTTTTTAATTTTTTTTCTTCAAATTTTGATGTAATGAAGCATGGCTAGTATAACTATATTAAAAGCAAAACCAGAATTCATTTTGACCCTCTAAAATTCTTTTTGACTCACAGAATTTATTTCAAAGGGTCATAATGACCTTTGGTTTTCAAAGTTATTGGAAACAATTAGACTTTTCCCTCATTTTTCTAGTGATGTTGAATATACCAAAAAGTGTGTGCATGACCACTTTGCCAATGCAACAGAAGCCAGAAAGCAGACAGCTATGGAGGCAATGAAAGTAGTGATGATGCTACACCAGCAGGTCTGTCCCATGGAGATGATGGAGATGCCAAAGATGGACAATACTACCTGTAATGTCAATGCCAGTGTGTGGTGTCTGGGTATGATGGGGAAATATTTGTCCTCAGCTTCTGCCTTCCATACAGAAACTCACTGTGGGTAAGTATAGAAATATATAGCAAGTCATCATAGTATGTATACCAGGGGAAAATGAACAGTAACATTTTCAAAAAGGGCTTAAATTTCTATCTTTTGATAATGTTAATTTTTAGTAATATTGTTTAAGTAACATTATTTTACTAGACTAAGTAAGTTTTGTTCATTGTGTCATTTTTTTCTCCTAAAAATTTTATGGTTTTAATATACTTGTAATTTTGTTACTATGATTTAGAAGTATTAACCAGTTATTTTGAATACCCCATTCTTCCATCAGATGTAACCCCCCCCCCCTCAAAAAAAATAAAATAAAATAAGTTGTACATAAATACAGTTTACTAAATGTAAATGAACATTTCAGTGCTGTAAGTATGGCTATGCATTGTGTATACAACAACACTATGAACTGCACACCATCTGAGAAGGCACTTGTAAAAGAAGCCATGGATCCCATTCTTAGCCTAGCAGGATCAGCATGTGAAGTAAAAACCGAGGAGGGATGTAATGTAACCAGGGCTTTGATTGGACGATTTCTGCCAGAGACATGTGATCAGACAGCTATACAAAATTGCTGGGACTGGTACAACAATGCAAAGGATTACTACATTTTAACCAATAACACAAAGGCTCTCTGCAGGTACACCAAAGAATATCAAAAAGTATAATAGAGAATATTAAAATTTGGGCTTGAGAAATGATGTGTAGTTTGAAACAAATTTAATAAGCAATATTCTAGATTTATAAAAAAGAATGCATCCTCCTTTCATTTAGTATGGGACAACAGGCAGTGATGTGTGCCCAAGCCAGTTCTAGAAGTTGTGATGCAGGAACCACAAATACACTAGTAACAACTCCAATGGAGGCCCTTAAAAATGACCTACAAATGATGTGCAGGGCCATGTTTTCTGAAATGGAGACAAGAGATAGGGACAACAGTACAAAGATGTGTGAGATAAAACCAGCAATGGTGCCCTGTGTTGGGGATGTAGAAATGTGCTTTAACAGTTTAAATCCAGCCGAAATTTGTGGGTATGTATCCATTTTCATATGTTTCAGTTCTTTGCATTAGATGTATTAACTTGCACTCTTGCACGTAAATGAGATTCTTGATTTACTGTGTTTACTAAGAGGTGAGGTCTCATTTGATTTCAGTGTACATCATATTTTGGGATCTAATTGTACATGTACAACCTTGTATACAAAGTTTATATATGGCACATTTCATTGTTGAAGGTACTTGATATTGAGTATTCTTCCCAAACAATTTATAATAAGAAATGGTGCAGTTTTACTCACATTCATTGTAGAAACCAGACCTCCATTAAGGCCTGCATTAGTCTGATGATGAAGGGTTGTGACAAATACATGGTGTATTCCTATTCCTCCTCAATCAAAATGAATCAAGACAGCCTGGAGGAAGCCATTAAAGGATCCTGTAAACTTGTCCCAGACACCCTTCCCACAATGCCGAGCAACTTCTCCCAGGATATGAAATGTATAGCAGGCAATGATGTGTTTGCAAATTATCTGTTCAACGATTCAGCTACTGAGGGAAATCTTTGTGAGATTTTCACAAATATGTCCAAGTGTATGGTAGCCAATGCCTCGGCTGTTTCCGTACCTTGGAGAGAAGCCTTAGAGTCTATCAGTCACACAGTCAGAAAACAAGTGTATTTCAGGTGTACTGTTGTAGGTAAGAAAGATTCAGGTAGTTTACTAGGTAAAAAAAAAATGGAATTTTAATTTTGTGGAATTTTTGATCTTTAGACAAATCCTTTTATTGCAACAATTGGATGTGCACTTTTTAAAAAAAAAAAATGTTGCTAAACTAGGTTTTTGTTTGAATACATGATTGAGTAAGATCATTTTCCTTTGATTTACAAATGTACTATAAAATTTTTGTTTCTTTTTTTCAGATAACATGAATATGGTGTATAAAGATGATGGAAGGAATTCATCAGATTTTGAAATTCCACAAAGTATGTGTTTTAATAGAGAATGCACAATTGTTATTAAAATGGTTTTACTCAATACAGAGTTCTTTTTCTGAATCTACAATTGATTGATATGTTCATTGAGAAACACAAATGTTCATAGGACTGAGCTTGAAGATTTAAATACACATAAACATTGTGTATTAAAAATTCAAAATGAAAATGTTCATCTAGTAGTATTTGTAATAATGTATTGATGAGATATTATTAATAGGAAAAATTTTCTCATATTAGATTCTTCCTGTGATGTCATGACTGCCTCGATTTGTATGTACAATTATGCTGCCTCCAACCTTTTCCCAGCATTTTATCCCATCAGAGAAAGAGAACAGACATGCAGGTAAATGTATATTTTTTGTAATTTGTGGCTGATAGAATCCTTTGTAGGGAACTACATGTACATTGTGTTATATGTAAATTGAAGAAATGGTAGAAGTAGAAAGAATTACCCTTTTATATAAACTGTAATGATTAAATTTTGGGTTTTAAGGAAAGGGGGGAGGGACTCAAGGAAGTAATGAGCATGAAAAACTACTTAACTTTGTTAGCCCAGATCTTGTGTTTCTGAATTCTGAGATACATGTAATATACATGTATATTGATATCTGTATTTTTTTTTTTTTCAGAAAACGAAGTTCTGATGTTATGTGCATTCATAAAAATTTAATGGGTTGTCCTGCTGCAGTCAAAATGAAGACAATACGGGTCTTGGATTGGTTTAATAGTATTGGGAAGAGTATAGGAATTTGTAATGAGGAGCCACCAAGAAAATGTCAGCCCAAGGAGGCCATGAAATGTGTGAGCATGCTCAGTGAAGGAATCATGATGTACGGAATGACAGAACAAGCACCTGCTGTCTGCTCGTAAGTCAAAGGAAAAAAATAAATTCAAAACAATTTATAAATTTTCTCTATGTTTTCTTTTCAATGTAAGTAATTATGTCATATATTCAGATATGAATAAATAAAATAAATGATAAGAAAAATGTGGTTCTAATAGTGAACTTGCTCTATTTTGTCTTCAGTATACTGCAGTATAAAATTAAACATTTTGAAAAGCTATGATGTATATGTTTTAAATATTAATATATTATTTCAACAAAAAAACAAAAGCCTCTGAGTCATAAAGTTTCTTATATTTTTTTTTCAATACAGTGGAATCGTTTCTACCGAGTTGTGTGTGCTGGAGAACACCGCTGGTTGTGAGGCGGGAGAACGCGCCACTGTGGAGGATGCCTACAGAGACGTGTCCGGTGTCGCGGTCAAAACCTGCCAGATGGACAACACTAAACCCATGCAGGTCATGCAGAGAAAATTTAGTGGTGAGTCTCTCTTTGAATGAGAGATTCATGTAGGTTATTTCTTTTGTTGTATTTAGTGAAAGATTCTGAGGAAAAAATAAATTATTGAAGCAAATCTTTGTACTTGAGGTGGTATTTAAACTTTGTAAATTTCAGCGGAAATGTGTGACATGAGGAAAGCAAAGATGTGCTTAACTGGAATGTTTGACAAGGTTGCTATGACAACAGTTTCAATGGAAGAAGTGGACAAAAAGAAACTTTGTGGGTTAGTATTACCTTTTTTTATACTATGATGAAGTTAAAAGTGTTTGTAAATTTGTTATAATCTATGACTTGAGAAATATATGTTACATTTGTACATTGGTTAAAGATTTCAAAGTAAGAGTTAGTCAGTAATGTCAAAGAATGTTAGCATAATTGGAATTTTAAAGTTTTTAAGCATAGCTGGAACTTGCATGTGCATGTAAATAGAGGATTTCATGTTCATTGTCTAAATTTTGACTTTGGTTGACAACAAACATGCTTTAGATTTCTCTAACATCAGTTTTATACCTTTAGAAGGAAATTAATTATTGATGTCTTTACTTTTCATAACATGTTATAACAATATCTGTTTTATAACATTCAGTGAACTACACATGATGGCAGAGTGTGTCAAGAAGAGCAGCATGAACTGTGATGAAGAAGACAAAAAGAAAATGGCTGCCCATGCTCCACTGGTCATGGGACTTCTCATGGGAACATGCTCAGAGGAAGAAGGTGAGCTATTTAGACTGTAATATTTAGAGATGGTGTGCATTTGTAAGTTGTCAATGTTGTTCATAAACATAAAATGAAGTTTTTTTTTTAATTTCAGATGAACAGGAATCTCATGGTAAGTTGAATTGATTAATTGATACTTATGTTCATAATCAAGGTCAGCTGTGATGTTATCAAAGTAAAAATAACTGAATCAAAGGAAGATATTTTAGAGAGTTCCATTCTGTGTTTTAGAGTCCAACATGTGTAAGATGACAGCAGTGAGGTGCCTGAGGGACTATATTCAGATTTCCACAATGGATTCTCTCTCAGACTACTGCAGGTATGTTGTGTAGGAATTCTTGTTAAACTTATAAACAATGAGAAACAACAAACCAAATTTTTTAATGTTTGAAAAATATCTGTTTATTTTACAAGTACAGTACTCTGGACTGTTTTTCACTTGCAGTCATTGCATATTGCAGAGAAGACTCATTTGTGAGAAATTCATATGAAAGATTTGAAAGAAATGTTGATCCACTGTACTGTATTTGAGATGTTAATGACAAAATATGTACATTTTATACAGACAGGTGCCCCCTACCATGAAATGTCTGTCCAGTGCAATGACTGGCTGTAACAAGAAGTTTCAGAGTTTAGTGGGTATGGCAATAGACCAGATTGGGGAGACCTCCGGAATGGTGTGTAAATCTGAGAAATGTAACATGGAGCTAGCATCCATGTGCATGATGGAAGCGGGAGCTCTGCTGAAGATGCCACCCCAGACATTTACTGAGAGTCCTCTGTGGTGTGGGTAAGTAAGGAAATAGGCTGATATTGTCTGTCATCATTTGTATTGGATTGAAATCTGGTTCCTAGCATTGCTATTCTAAATACATGTAAATTAGAAATCATGAGTTCAGATTACCATAGCATTACATTTACTATAACATTATCTGAATTTTCTTTGTATTGAGGATCATTTAAATAAATGTACTTACATGTATATAATTATACCCCCGCTCCGAAGGAGAGGGGGGTATACTGTTTTACCCTTGTGTGTCTGTCTGTCTGTCTAGCTGTGTGTGTGTCTGTCTGTCCGTAACAAATTTTGGTCGCAGTTTTCTTAAGGCCGGTTTACACGGTAATACCTGTCGTATACAACTTGTCGTTTACAACTTTTGTAATATATTCCTTATATGTCTACACGGTAAAACAGGTTTACATTCCACTCTTTTGTTATTTAAACAAACAAAACGCCCCTTTGAAGAAGTACAGTTTTTTTTTTATTTTGTTAACATGGAAGAACAGGAAGAGGAAGACAGTTATCTTAATGTGCATTTTGATAATTTCATTTCCACTCACTGTTGTGCCAGCATAGAAGATCTAGAGGAAGGCCATGGGTCAGACAATGGACTGGGAGGGGAGTGATCACTATGGTGCATATCAGAACCACTTCTTAAATTCTAGAAATTTTCTCCGAATGGATATATGGCAGATTTTGATGATCTTCTGGACGTAGTATCCCCGGCCATTTATAAAGAAGCGGGACACATTAATGAGAAATTCAATTTCAGCAGCAGAACGATTTACTCTTACACTGCGTAAATTTTTTGACCACCGGTCAAATATAAAATTAATCGTCTATTTGAAATATATTTAAGAAGGAATGCTACACCAAACTTTATTTGATGGATCTTCAAAACATCCATTTTAAACTAAGATTTTAGCATTGAAAGATTGATATTCGCTCTTAATTATTTGATACGATTTGTTTCAAATTTATTCAGCGAAAATGTTTTAAAAAAAATTACATTTTAAATTTGAACAAGCCATAACGTATAAAAATGTTGAAGTATTCTTTTAAAATATTGAATTGGTCAGTAAAGCATAAATAGATCACCCAAATCCCAGACCACTGATTGGCCAAAGATAGAGAGTCTCATACGACTTGCTGTACAGAATAGAGACATGCTCTATTCGAACGCGTGGAATATATGACTCCGGGAAGGTTTAAATTCCGTGTAATAGCCCCGTACACACGGGAGCATTTTGATGTATATGACAAGGTTTATACAGCTTGCTTTACCGTGTAAACCGGCCTTTAGCAACTACTCATTGCAGATGCTTGAAATTTTAACACATTCTTTGTTTAGGCATGCCATATGGTGGGATTCATTTTTGTACGAATTCAATATCAACTTCCTGTTTATCCGTGCGTCTGTCCGTACCACAGATAACAAACTTTGGTCGCAGTTTTCTCAGCAACTACTTTTCACAGGTGCTTGAAATTTTAACACACTCTTTGTTTAGGCATGCCATATGGTGGGATTTATTTTTGTACTAATCCGATGTCAACTTCCTGTTTATCCGTGTGTCTGTCAGTACCATACATAACATATTTTGGTCGTAGTTTTCTCGGCAACTACTTATCGCAGGTGCTTGAAATTTTAACACACTCTTTGTTTAGGCATGCCATATTGTGGGATTCATTTTTGTACGAATTCAATGTCAACTTCCTGTTTATCCTTGCATCTGTCCTTATCATACATAACAAATTTTGGTTGTAGTTTTCTCAGCAACTACTCGTCGCAGATGCTTGAAATTTTAGCACAATCTTTGTTTAGGCATGCCATATAATGGGATTCATTTTTGGTACAAATCCGATGTCAACTTCCTGTTTATCCGTGCATCTGTCTGTACCATACATAACAAATTTTGGTTATAGTTTCTCAGCAACTACTCATCGCAGACGCTTGAAATTTTAGCACAATCTTTGTTTAGGCATGCCATATGTTGGGATTCATTTTTTACAAATCTGATGTTAATTTCCTGATTATCACTGTGTTTGTTCATAACTGACCTTGTGTATTCACATCAGAGCGGGGGTATTATTAGTGAGCATTTGCTCACAGACTTCTTGTTTAATTTTGTTTGTATTCTAGCCTCTGATTGGTAATTATCCAGAAAGGAACACAAATTATTTCTGTATCACCTGGTTTGGTTCGGGGACACCCCCCTGACAACCAGCTGAATCATCTGTATCCATACAATCCTCTCATTTCCAGTCCTCGGGATTCATAGAAAATTTCAGATTTAATAAATGTACCTTTAACTTCAAACAATAATTCGATCTTACCAATGTAAACAAACAAGGCTGCAAGGCCTATGTATCAGTTTTTACCTCCCCTCACTTCCCATCACTTCCGTTACTTTCGTTACTATGGTTGTATTATTGAGCGGCAAATTTGAACTAATAAAAAGCAACGAAATTTTACACCCATAGCTAATTTAATGATAATCATTTTAAAATTAAATTATAAGGAATGACTCTAATTCTTGGCCAAATTATTCGAGAATAACCTAGTTTTGGGTCAGGCCTATATAAATAAATAGTGTGTTTCCGGTTCCCCAACCGATCCTAAAATATATGAGCTGACCCTGAAAAATTCATCCGCCGATGTCTTTCCGGAAGTAAACAATTCTATTTTCACTGTTAGAAATCCTAATCTCGAACACTTCGGAGTTGGAGAAAATGCATATCCCATTAAACATAAATGCCATTAGTAAGCCGCCGTTTTGGGAAAAAGAAATGAACTCTTTGTTTTTCTCATTTTTTTCTTGTCAAAGTTAAATTTTAACTAATAAAATGTTAAAATAAAATCAAATGTTTTCCCTACCTACCTACCCTATTTTTTCTCGGGTAATAGGAAACACAATATTTATTTATCTTGGCCTCAGTTTATGCTGTTAAATAACCTCCCTCGCGGATTATAAAGCGTAAACTGACCCAAACCAGGTTATACTTGAATGATTTGGCCAAGAATTAGAGTCATTCCTAATATAAATGTGGTACATGCATACACAAATGGATGTGGAGGAGATACATGTGTTACATTGTAGCTACAATATGATTATAAAGTTATACATATTTTTAACACAGATTTGTAAAACATGCCTTAAGTTGTGTTGAGATGCATGGAAAATCCTGTGATATGAGCAAGATGCCACTATCAGCAGCCTGGTACAACTCCAGTAAGTGGATGGTAGGGGTACTGTGTCGTGAAGAACCCACCCCTAATCCAGTTCTGGGTCTAGCGCCAGCCTTCCAGCTGGAGGGACTCTTCTCTCTGGTGTCCTTACTGGGTAATCGATACTCTACCAAAGAGACTATTTGTCCGTAAGTAACTTCAGTTTTTTAAGTGGTGTATTTCTGTTTTATATGTTAAAAAAAAAATTTAGCAGTTTAAAGATTTGAACATTTTTCATTTTTCATTTATCACACATACTTTGATATCATGATATGATTGTACTTCATATTTTGACTTAGATTTTTAAAATAACTTTTTAAAAATATTACTTGTAATTTTAAAATGGGGATTTATGAACCTTTCAAATTATTTTCAGACATTACAGGAACATGATGATGTCTGTTTATGAAGCTTCTTTTGTTCTGAGCCCTGAAGTTTATGCCCAGATGATACAGGTGTATCGACTCCCCTTGAAGACAGTGGGGCACATATGTTACGATGGGTCTGAGGGCTGGACCATGTCTGACAAGAAAGCCACGTGTGATGTGAAGGCTGCCTATCGATGTGCACAGGAAGCTGGAATACATTCTAAGATCACCAGTAGTGTATTCTATGGCTGGAAACCAGTTTGCCAGTAAGTTTTTGAAGAAAATAATAAAAGTGCTGATGAAAATTTTTTGTTCTACATGTACTCATAAGTCAAAACACTTGAGTGCTGCACAGTTTTATTAGGTCATCTGAGCTGAAGGCTTAAAGGACTTGTTGCTCTTTCTCAATTACTTGAATTTAAAAGCGTATCATGTTCCTCATGATCACAGTTTGTAAATTTTGTGTTTTTACTGCAGATATACTACAGTAATTATTGATTCAATTGAGATATACTGCAGACATTATTGATTCAAATAAAAACCCCTATATTAAAAATCTAAGTTAATTAGATAGCGATCATGGGACAATGGTACGTCATAAGTGACAATGGCTGATCAGTTGATACATTAATCTTACTAAAATGTACGCAATACGAACTGGTTTTTCTGTGTTAGGAACAAACAAATTACCAATTTTATCTAAATGAGGTTCAATATTCTACCTTGTATGTTTGAACTGTCAGGAAGAAAAAATCCCAAAAATCTGTAAACATTGCATGGAAATTAACCTGTTAGCAATAATGGACACAAGGGAGACGAAGAAACTGGCCCACACAGAGTTAATTTTTATACGCCGTCTTAAGACGGGACGTATTATGTTATAGCGTTCATGTCCGTCCGTCCATCTGTCTGTTAGCTTTTTCGTGTCCTGCTCATAACTTTAATACTATTAGGCCTAGAGTTATCAAACTTTGTCAGCTGATGCATCTTGGGTAGAAGGTGTGTCGCGCATTAAACGTAGGTCGCTCTGACCTTTAATTAAGATGTTATGGCCAAATATGGAAAAATCCTGTCAGGCTCATAACTAGAAAACTATTAGACTTAGAATCATCAAACTTGGCCAATTTATGCATCTTAGGTAGAAGGTGTGTCACGACCTATTTCAAGGTCACTTTGACCTTTAATTTAAGTGAAATTTAAAAAAAAAAATGTCTTTGTACTATTAAATTACACAATCTCAAAAAATGTAAGAGTGTTGCAGTATCCATATTAAGAAAATGTTAAATCAAGAAAATACTTATTTTTTTCATTATATCCTTTACAGCAATCTATAACAAATGTAATAAGAGAAATTCCACCTCTCCCATGGGTTTAATTATCAAGCACTGGTCAAGTAGAATTTTGATAACAGAAAATTGCATGTCAAATTAGAGAGAAATTAATGAGTTTTAGTGTGAGAAGCTAACTGGTAGAGCATCTCTGATCAAGCAGGTGTTATCTATATCTCTTGGGACTGTGCAAATGTTGGATTAAATTAAATACATGTAATAATACATTAAATACATTTGTATTTGTATTTGTAGTTCTTGTTCACAAGCTAGCCTAACTTTTAAAATGAATTTGGTGAAAAGTAATTAAAACTAATTTGATACTGCATGATAATAAAATTTGTTGATATTTTATAATAAACTAATTAATTAAAACTAATTATACTGGGGGGGGGGGGGGGGAGTAATGTTGAAATCAGCATGTCCATTGTCCGTATGATTGCAGCTTAAAACCAGCTAGTGTGACATTAAATCTAAAAAAAATCAAGTATTTAAAAAAAATGTTTTAATTATGGTAGATAGCCACTACAAATCTAAGAGTCATGCAGGAACCTTATTAATAATGTTGCTTCAAGATGACAAAATTTTATTTTTTCTTTTTAGAAATTTTTGTAACAAATTTTAAAAAAAAATCTTTGTTTTCAAATTTAACTTCAGGATGACATAAATATGCATTTTTATTGCACTACAAAGCAAATAGTGCAGATCCATTCATACCTTGGGAGTAATGAGTGGACATGCATCGAGTTTAAGATTAATTAATGAGTTCAATGTAGAAAGGCTAGCTGTCTCAGTCATTTCTGTTAGAGCATCTCTGATCAAGCAGCTCTTATCTGTATCCTTTGGGAATTAGGCAGAAGAACTGCTGGTCAGTTTATAACATATGTCATTTGATGGCCAGCCTTTTTATTTTCAAATTTAATTTGTTATAGATTAAGTTGTTAAGACTAAATTGATATTGCTCAATATGATATTTTTATATTTTTTGAAAATATCAACTAGAGCATCATGTCTCACAAATATGAAAGATGGGGGGGGGGGGGGGGCTGCAGATGGGCATTTGTCAAGCTCTAACACAGCCAGTTGAGGATCTATAATGTAATATTTGTTAAAATTAATGCATACACCACAGGAGGTGTATAAACAAATATTATAAGAATGGAAAAATCATGGAAATCCTTCTACCGGTATCAAGGTTGACATGATTTTCTTGCACTCTAAACTGTTTTTGATAATTGAACAATATTTGACGGGCGTATCATGCTGTGGCGGGGCACTTTATTTCATCTTGTCACATGTATTAATCTATTTTATTCACAAATTTAAAATTACAGAACTTGAATAATTTATTTTAATCAATAATCTTGAATCATAACATAAATAAGCGACTGAATCATCGCGGAAATCATGAGAAGGGGAATGGGGCAGGGGTAATTATAGAATCATACCTGTAGTTGAAAAAGGTGGCAGGATCTTTACTAATAACCCTTTCTTCTATAATCATAAACTGTGATCTTTACTAATAACCCTTTCTTTTATAATCATAAACTGTGATTAAGATTGTACAAGCTCCGCTATAAATCAGCAAGTTTCTTTTTGTTTTACAATTTTTATTTTATTCTTACTAACATGATTACACCATGTACACCCACACTGTAGTCTGTCAATAATACATGTATTTATAACTTCATCTTTTAATAAATGTTTATACTTTAGTTAGAAGAAGTTCATACATCTATAGTAATTGGAAAGCATGTAAGAATTTTTTCAGGATTTTTCAAATTATTCCGCATTCGTCGTTGACAAAGTTCGTTAAAAGTATGCAGTTTCTCATTTTTCTATCACTGAATTGTTGCATATGAAGTAACAGTGGTATGGCGCGGAAATCCAATTGAAATATGTATATCGCTGTATTTGAATTTCAACTCAAATTTCGCTTAAAATATGGTTACATAAAAATTACTGGTAATTGTATTCAGTATCTTAATAAACAATGTTGTAGATATTATTTTGCATAAAATTATATAATATATGAAGAGCATGCAACAAGTCCTTAAAGGGAGCTTTTCTGATCCCAGTTTTTCTGTCATCTGTTAGTCTGTCTTTCTGCTAATTTTCACATGTTCCTCTTCTTCACAAGAACCACTGAGCCATTTTCAACCCAACTTGGCACACAAAAAATCTTGGGTGAAAAGAATTCAAAAAATTCAGAAGAGGAGCAATGCCTCCTTTCAAGGGGAGATACAAGAAAAGGCGAAAATAGGGTGGGGTCATTTAAAAATCTTATTCTCAAGAACCACTGGGTCAAAAAAATTGAATCTTCTGCTAAAGCTTCCTTACATACATGAAGTATAAACTCTAGTTTGTTCAAATCATGGCTGCTTTGGGGTAGTGTGTTGCCACAATATGAAGATCAAAGTTTTACATAGGATTATACAAGTACATGTATGTATTGGAAAAAATCTTTTCAAATCTTCTTCTCTAGAACAGCCTGGCAATTATTCCTTCACTAAATTATATGCCAACATTTCCATTTTTTTTGGATTCCAGTTTTTTTTTTAAATCATGGGCCCTGGGTTTAGGGTTAGGCTAAAATTATATTGGGCATTAAATTTTACGTAATGCATGTATACAGAAAAAAATTCCAGAACAACAAGTTCACTATATAGACATATTGATATTGAAACATCCCCATGTTGTGTGGATTCAAGTTTAGTTAAATATGGCTATAGTGGGGTCATAATATTGGGTCAAAAGGTTTGTAGGTGGAATAAAAAGGGGATTTAAAAAAAAAAATCTTCAGAAGAACAGCTCGACTAAGTTTTTTCAAAGGTGAGCATTGTGGCCCAGTGGCCTCTGGTTTCATTAATTTTATAGACAGAAACTCGAATTGTTTTATTCTTTTATGTTTTATTTAAATACAGGTCCATGGAGAAGATGACTTGTTGTATAGAGAGTGCTACCAGTGATTGTACCGACCATAAGTCACTCCTGGATCTCAGGTCTCTCTATCGTGAGATCTATACTGCCGTAGGAGATAAATGTTCTCCTCGAGATATCTCAATCAGACTCATGAAGTCATGTCCAATGCCAGTCCCAAAGAAGTGCGAGATCACTAATGCCAAAAGTAAATGCCTACTAAACATTAGATCAGAATCGGACAAACAGCAGATTTGCAGGTTAGTTTTAGTATTTATGTCATCTGTTTTTAGGTCACCCGAGTCACTGCTTTTTGTTAGTGTCTCGTGTCTATAGTAAATTTTTAAAAGAATCACAGGATCCAAGGTCATTAAAACAGTTCAAGGTCAAGGTCAGTGAAAAATTAATAGGATTTTTTTTCCCAAGGTTACAAATTAGGAAGAGACTTTAAAAGTATGTGTTGATGAAGGGAATTAGGGAAATTCTTGATTGGATCGTAAAATTTTAGCTGAGCAGAGCAGTTTAGAGAAAATTTTGAAATACCCTTGATACTGACTTAATAACCGTCAAGGCTCATGTTTTGTTATGAATTAGCATGTAATTACTCTGTTATCTGTGGTCAATTCATAGAGGTTGGAGTATATTGAGAATTTTCTTTTCCTGATATTGGATGCTGAGGTTTCCCATGATTTTAATGCTCTATAAAGCTGATCATTGTTAGTTATTAATACAGTTATCATCCTAAATTTTGCAGCAAACTGTCAGATGTTGTTAAATGTGTCAAAGAACACACAGAGGGTTGTGCAGCTGCCCAGAATGCACCTCTGGAGTTTATCTTGCACAAATACAAGGAGTGGAGGCAGTCTGCCTGTGACCTCAGCAGTGTGGATACACAGGTCATGGTGAAGGATGAAACCTCAGATGTGGCCAACTGTAGCATGGTGCTCATGAACAGTTATTACAAGGGTTTGACCACTAAGTCCAGCTTCATAGGTTCTTTATGTTCAGCCAAGAGAGAGGAAGAGAAGTGTATCCAACAAGCTAAGTACATTCCTCTGCCGATACAGTTCAATTTTGCTGAAACTATGGACGCGTATCAGGAATTCAAAAAGATGTGCAATCAGACATTTGAAAACAAGCCAATGCCTAGCGGTAAGATTTTGTTTTTAAAATACAGGGAGAAATCATTGATCAGAAGACACAGAATTAAGGATGATCTTTACAGTAAAATGAGGTGCATGCACTTTCTTCAAGAAATCTGAATGTTATATTTTTTTATTTACAGAACCATCAAGTTGTATGATGGATGTGGCTGCAATGTGTGTAGTATCTTATTCACAGACTTTGATAAGATGGAGACTGACCCCAATGGCAGAGAGACTCCCCATGTGTGGGTAAGAAATGCAGTCTTCATGTATTTCACAGCTCAGATTTTGGTCAGTTGATTATTTACAGAGTTGAGAAGGAACTGTAGCTTTTTAGACTATTGTAAATTCACTTACACTTGATGTTCAGTTTTTTTCCTATCACAAAAAAAAAAACATATCCCCTACCCATGGAATAAATCATCTTGTGAATGTGATAAGAAAAATATACAAATGTCAAGTGCCAGTGGGCAAATAAGGAAAAATGAAAATCAAAAAGATAGTTGAATAGCAGGTTAACTTAGAGATATTTTTTTTAATTATTAGAAAGATTCTTGATGTGCAGAAGTGTGTCAATAACAGTGTACAGACCTGTTCTAAGCAGCGACAAGATGTATTTAGGGATGGTCTGATCTCCCTGGTCTATGAACACATGGAAGCCTGTCCGTCATCTATTCTGCCTACTGTCAAGCAAATGGATGATGTGTGTTCCCCAGAAATGGCTTCCATGTGCTTAGAGCACTATGGCATGTACCTCACTGAGATCACCCCAGGCAAAAAGAGGGAGGCTTGCAGGTATGTATAGGGCTGCACAATAATATCAGTGTTCTTGTCTATTGCGATTTGTTAACAAAAATTATCTTATTGCGGTACATTTTTCCAGTACCAATATACTGGGAAAATGCTTGGGCTTGGGATTTCTAAAGTAAAATATGAAATTTAAGATGTCAGAAATGTTTTCAATCCAAACGCTTTACAGTAAGGTTACTGTCATACTTGCCAACCTCCAACATGTAAAAAATCTGGTCATGACCAGATTTGGAAAGTAAAAAATCTGGTCATAACGCGTAACGACATTCACAACATATCTAACATGATTAAATTATATATATGTATATTCTATAAGTATTTGTGTATTGAGAATTCTTTTATTAAACAGAGGCTTTAATTTACAATGACAAAAAATTAATATATATATTGATTAAATTTACATGTTAAAAAAGAGCATTGAAGGTCTCATTATTCAGTATTGACCTGGATTAAGTGTGCGTTTTTCTTAAAAGAAAGTCTTTTCAGAATCTGCATTGCTATTTTGAAGCACATGTTTGTGCTAAATTTGAAAGTATTCCAATTTTGGTTTTGAAGTTATTTTTCCTCTCCCGAATTAATTAACAAGTGCAATATGTATTAAATGTATAGTTAGGCCTACTCTATCTTCGATCACTTTATTTTATCTAATGAAAGTTGTTTTCCAAGAGTCCTTGATATGTAAATAAATATCGTTTCTCTTTTTCTTGGTTCAGTTTGTTCCTGCTGGCCATAGTTCTATTGGAAGCCATTTTAAATTGACTTCAAACTTTGATTTGTCAAAACAACTCCCAGGTAATTGTTTACACCTGCGCTGATAATTTACTGAATATACACGGCCTACTGAACATAGCCTTGGCATTGTTTACGGATCCAAGCTTGGGTTGCAACTGGAAGTTAAAAGTGCAACCTAATTTATGAACCAAATCAGGAGATTTTCGGCTTGTTCGGCAAAAATCAGGAGAAGAGCATGACCCGCCGTGTCATAAAAAATAATCGGGTTAAGGGTCGAAAAATCGGGTGTAACCCGACGAAATCGGGCGAGTTGGCAACTATGACTCACTGTTGTATGGTTGCATTTTGTTGCAAAACTGTAGTGAACCAACAAGAACTTTTTTGCTACAACATATTTATAATAGTTACATGTATATAAACTCTGCTTATAAATGGAGGTTAATGAAATAAGAAGAGCATTTCAACTGTTATTGAAAATATTGCAATTCATATCACAATACTGTTAAAAATAGAACAATATATCGCAATACGAAATTCCCAGGCGATACCCAGCCCTTGGTATGTAGGTCATAGGTAAATAGCAGTTTGTAATGTTAAAACATGTTTTATATTTGTTTTGCATATAATATTTTGTATTAGTAAAAAATGGTATTAATATAAACATTCTTTTAATTCTTAAATTCAACAAATCACTCTGGTTGAACCTCAGTATTTCAAATGTTAATATTTTGAAAATATGTGGTATATGATATAATTATATTTCAGAGGGAATAGTCTTGAATAAAGAGGTTTGAGGTTGAATGCACTAATAATTGAAATATGATTTTAAGAATTAAAAAAAACCCCATCTTTTCATGTTTTTATAGTAAATTCCATGAGACACTTGAATGTGTCCATCAATTCACTAAGAACTGCTCTGACAGTGTCAAAGGATCTTTCGCCCCCACTCTGGACCATATCCGTAATATACTGGGGGATTCCTGTCCTCTCTTGTCTACCGTCATGTGTAACACGGATATGTGGGAATCTACACTGCAAAACTCAAGATGTGAACTACCCAAGGCAAATCAGTGTTTGATGAAACTTGACGAATATGCTAGAGCCAATATGACCAAAATGGATGGAATGTGCATGTAAGAGACTAAGTTTATCTCTTAATTTATGAGAGAATTTTATGGATCATCATTTGAAGTCCACTGATATATGGACTTTCAGAATATTAAGACATTGCATAAGCTTTTCAACATTTATTACAGGGAATATGCAAAAACATTAGAGTGTGTTTTACAAAACACCATAACCTGCAAACCTGAAGATGTCAAGGAGATCAATACCACTGTACATGTCATCATGGCAACACTGGGGTATGAATGCATGAAGATTGCTGCCAAGGATTCAAGGACAGGGAATTCTGGGATGCAGGAAATGTCATTACCCCTGCTTGCTGCTCTCCAGACTTGTAAGCCCAGACCTGTGTGTACAACAAGATGGCTGGACTGTGCCCCAGACATGAATGTTACCGTTGTCTGCGAGTAAGAAATCAGTTTGATTGTAAATTGAATGTGTGATGTATTACGTAATCTTTTTCCTGTGATGCAAAGTAAATGTACATTTTAAGGAGAGTTAATTTACTACAACAATAGAATAATGTGGATTTAAGAGAAAAAATGATATTTAGAAAGCCAGATTTATCATAATGTAGTTTTACCTCAAGACCGTGTTTATTTACAGCAATGGAGAAAAAATTGCCAAATGTATGTTGGAAAAGGCTGTTGGCTGCAGCAATGGAGCACAATTGTTAGTAGCTCAGGATGTCCGAATATTTGCACAAGAAATACAAAAATACTACAGGGGCGGCAAGTGCAATTTCTCAGAAGTTGTGATGGAGAGAACCAATCCATTAGTTCCCTACATGTTCAACAAGGCATGCTACCTACAGTTTTCTGCTAACATCACCGCCGTCATGAAGAATGCTTCCACATCTTTCTGGGATGTTTGCCCCATTCTCAGTCAGACACAGCGCTGTATTGAGATGCAAGGCACATTCCAGGAACCCCTAATACGAGGGATGTGGAAGTCAGCAGCCCACCAGGTTGATCTCAACAAGTGCTTTGCTGGATATGGTATGGAGACGTGATAGATATTTAAAAAAAATTAATTAGGCTATTACAATGATTTTATTGAAAAATTATACTAATTGTTCATAAAGATAAAGTTGATAGGTTGTAGCAATAATGTAATGAAGGAAAGGTTTTAAGTTGAATTAATTTTTTGCAGCAGAGGAAATGATGAAAATGAATATGTCTAGAGAAGACAGGAAGATGATGGAAATGGAGAACTGGAACATGACTGACCTGTACAACAGGACCATGAAAGGTAGATATTTTTAAAGTAACAAAAAAAGATGATTTTGCACCCTGTTCAATTAATGTTCAGCCACATCATTTACACTTTTGAAGTAGCAAAGATTTCTCTCTGAATGATTGGTAGATCTTGTACACCTTGACTACATAACCATTTGTTTTCATATTAAAATTTGATAAAGAAGTACATGTATCTTTAAAAGGTGAAGCCATACTTGTTTGACATCATATTGTTAACCCGAGTTGCTACTCATGCACATTTTATATTTTTCCCCAAAATTAGATATATTTTCCAATTTGTTTTTAAAAGATTTCAATGTAATATTCTTCCCAAAATTATTGAAAAAGGTTGCTTTTAGAGTATTTGTGAAAAACTGGCTCAGTGTTTTAGAATTCTGTTGAGATACATGTACATGTACCTGATAATGACGACTGACGTTGGATCTGTGTAAAAGTGCTTTATGGCTTGTGAAGCTAAAGACATGATTCTTGTGAAAAATATAGAAAATGTATTCAAAATTCATTATTTTAAAAGAGATGGTAATTTTTTTTTTATATTTTCATACTTAGAAAAGACATTCTTTCCAAAGAAATGAGTCTAGCTAAGTGCAAAAAGGTTAATTTTTAGCTCTACTGGTCAGAGTCCAGAAGAGCTTATGCGATAGTAAGGTGTCCGTCGTCCGTCCGTCTGTCTGTCTGTCTGTCTGTCTGTCTGTCCGTCTGTCTGTAAACAATTTTTCAAAACGCTACTCCTCCTACAGTTTTGGTCCGATTTCAATATAACTTGGCACACAAGTAGACTACACTAAGATACATAATTTAGTGCATCGGTTTTTGATTTCGATGGACAGTGTTGCCATGGTTACTAAAAATAGAAATTTCTGTGAAATTCCTTTAAAACGCTACTCCTCCTACAGTTTTGGTCCGATTTCAATATAACTTGGCACACAAGTAGACTACACTAAGATACATAATTTAGTGCATCGGTTTTTGATTTCGATGGACGGTGTTGCCATGGTTACTAAAAATAGAAATTTCTGTGAAATTCCTTTAAAACGCTACTCCTCCTACAGTTTTGGTCCGATTTCAATATAACTTGGCACACAAGTAGACTACACTAAGGTACATAATTTAGTGCATCGGTTTTTGATTTCGATGGACGGTGTTGCCATGGTTACTAAAAATAGAAATTTCTTTGAAATTCCTTTAAAACGTTACTCCTCCTACAATTTTGGTCTGATTTCAATCTAATTAGGCACACAGTTAGAATACACTACGATACATAATATGTATTTCTGTTTTTTTTTTATTTGGGTGAATGGTGTTGTCATGGTTACTAAAAATAGAAATTTCCGTGAAATACTTTCAAAACGCTACTACTCCTAGTTTTCATTTGATTTCAATATAACTTGTCACAAAAGTAGACTACATTAAGATACATAATTCTATTTATTGTTGCATGTTGCAATGTTTCAAATCCAAGTGCTACTTTTCTTTTGTTATACAAACAGACCAGTAGAGCTACAGTCTCATCAGAGACTTCTGGTTTATAATTAAGATGTAAAACCACACATAACTTTTAAATAAATGCGATTTCATTTTTAGCTCTACTGGTCAGAGACCAGAAGAGCTTATGCGATAGTAAGGTGTCCGTCGTCCGTCCGTCCGTCTGTCTGTCTGTCTGTCCGTCTGTCTGTAAACAATTTTTATAAACGCTACTCCTCCTACAGTTTTGGTCTGATTTCAATATAACTTGGCACACAAGTAGACTACACTAAGATACATAATTTAGTGCATCGGTTTTTGATTTTGATGGACGGTGTTGCCATGGTTACTAAAAATAGAAATTTCTGTGAAATTCCTTTAAAACGCTACTCCTCCTACAGTTTTGGTCCAATTTCAATATAACTTGGCACACAAGTAGACTACACTAAGATACATAATTTAGTGCATCGGTTTTTGATTTTGATGGACGGTGTTGCCATGGTTACTAAAAATAGAAATTTCTGTGAAATTCCTTTAAAACGCTACTCCTCCTACAGTTTTGGTCCAATTTCAATATAACTTGGCACACAAGTAGACTACACTAAGATACATAATTTAGTGCATCGGTTTTTGATTTCGATGGACGGTGTTGCCATGGTTACTAAAAATAGAAATTTCTGTGAAATTCCTTTAAAACGCTACTCCTCCTATAGGGTTGGTCCGATTTCAATATAACTTGGCACACAAGTAGACTACACTAAGATACATAATTTAGTGCATCGGTTTTTGATTTCGATGGACGGTGTTGCCATGGTTACTAAAAATAGAAATTTCTGTGAAATTCCTTTAAAACGCTACTCCTCCTACAGTTTTGGTCCGATTTCAATATAACTTGGCACACAAGTAGACTACACTAAGGTACATAATTTAGTGCATCGGTTTTTGATTTCGATGGACGGTGTTGCCATGGTTACTAAAAATAGAAATTTCTTTGAAATTCCTTTAAAACGTTACTCCTCCTACAATTTTGGTCTGATTTCAATCTAATTAGGCACACAGTTAGAATACACTACGATACATAATATGTATTTCTGTTTTTTTTTTATTTGGGTGAATGGTGTTGTCATGGTTACTAAAAATAGAAATTTCCGTGAAATACTTTCAAAACGCTACTACTCCTAGTTTTCATTTGATTTCAATATAACTTGTCACAAAAGTAGACTACATTAAGATACATAATTCTATTTATTGTTGCATGTTGCAATGTTTCAAATCCAAGTGCTACTTTTCTTTTGTTATACAAACAGACCAGTAGAGCTACAGTCTCATCAGAGACTTCTGGTTTATAATTAAGATGTAAAACCACACATAACTTTTAAATAAATGCGATTTCATTTTTAGCTCTACTGGTCAGAGACCAGAAGAGCTTATGCGATAGTAAGGTGTCCGTCGTCCGTCCGTCCGTCTGTCTGTCTGTCTGTCCGTCTGTCTGTAAACAATTTTTATAAACGCTACTCCTCCTACAGTTTTGGTCTGATTTCAATATAACTTGGCACACAAGTAGACTACACTAAGATACATAATTTAGTGCATCGGTTTTTGATTTTGATGGACGGTGTTGCCATGGTTACTAAAAATAGAAATTTCTGTGAAATTCCTTTAAAACGCTACTCCTCCTACAGTTTTGGTCCAATTTCAATATAACTTGGCACACAAGTAGACTACACTAAGATACATAATTTAGTGCATCGGTTTTTGATTTTGATGGACGGTGTTGCCATGGTTACTAAAAATAGAAATTTCTGTGAAATTCCTTTAAAACACTACTCCTGCTACAGTTTTAGTCTGCTTCTAATATAATTAGGCATACAAGAAGACTATACTAAGATACATAATTTATTGCATTGGTTTTTGAATTCGATGAACAGTGTTGCCATGGTTACTTAAAATAGAAATTTTTGTGAAATTCCCATTAAACGTTACTCCTCCTACAATTTTGGTCTGATTTCAATCTAATTTGGCACGCAGTTAGAATACACTACGATACATAATATGTACTTCTGTTTTTTTTATTTGGGTGAATGGTGTTGTCATGGTTACTAAAAATAGAAATTTCCGTGAAATACTATCAAAACGCTACACCTCCTACAGTTTACATAATTCTATTCATTGTTGCATGTTGCAATGTTTCAAATCCAAGTGCTACTTTTCTTTTGTTATACAAACAGACCGGTAGAGCTACAGTCTCATCAGAGACTTCTGGTTTTTATTCATAATGAAAATAAAGGTATTTGTATGTTCAATAATATATATTCCCAGTTTGGATTCCTCTCAGAGGTTTACCAAAATATTTGAAAATAAACATTTACATGTATGAAAATTAGCATACAGGAATTTGCCGCTAGGGTATATAATGCATCAATATTATAGTGTATATTAGGCCATATTTAAAAAATTGTTTGATTGCCCTCTCCCGACCGACCCGCTAAAAATGACCTGACTCCAAAATTTTTTTTAACCTCTAGGAAGCAATTATTTTTTTATGAATTTCAGAAAATAGATTTTGAAAATTCTGCATTGATGTTGAAATTTTCTTGGGGAAAAATTTTTTTCACCTACCTACTGACCCTATTTTTTTCATCCTGAGTTGGAAGAGGGCAAAAAAACATTGTTTTAAAGTTGGCCTTATTTAAATTTTTAAAGAAAAAATTTTATAATTATTTTATTGATGTACCATTTAAATCAATATCAATATATACTGACACGCAAAAGAAACGCAACAAGCTGTAACCTACAAATATCAGAATATTTTTATCTAATGATTTTCAAAAATGAATACAGTAAGATAAACCCTGATTTAAAAACATCAGTGATTTCATTGAAACGTTGAATGGTACATGTATCTTCTAATTTTAGAAAGAATCGCATAACTGTTAAAAACACCCCATTTCCGGCCATTTAATTACAGTGTGCAAGTCCTCCATGCACAATAATTGCAGATCGATTTTTACGATGCATTAGGTTTATCAATCTCTTGATCTAGTGCCTTTTTTTCAGATGCTGAGTTCAAATTTTCTCGAACCTTTAGCAGTATAGTAACCCATGGACTTCTGGTCCACGGACGGTCATTCAGTGACATGCTAATGATGCGTATGAGCATGATTGAGGCGTGATGTAGTGTATATTATTTTGCATCTATATCTATTCTTCACCTTTGTTTTAAGAAATTCCAGCCAGAGCAATGGAAATGCGTGCTTTCAGTCATTTTGAGGAAGTCTTGGCATCACTTCAGGAAAAGATAGAATTTTTTTCTTAATATTACTGAAATACTGGTTTTAACTGGTTTCTGGGAACAATTGTAATCGGATAGAAAATCTGTAATCAGTTAGTCGATATGTATTAACTTCCTTAGAATTCAATTTACAAGATTAAAAAACCCTCTGAATGTTGATAAGTTATAATCCAAATTGACCTTGCATAACATCTGATATGAAAAATCATCAATGTCTTTAAAATCTCATGTACAGTGTATATTTTATGGTTTTCTTATTTATTATTTTTTCTTTTGAAATTGGAATAAAATGCATAAAGTTTACTGATGAAACATATAGAGAATATTACTAATGGTTTTTTTTGTTTTCCTGTACATACGTATAGAGTTCACTAAAAAAAAATATGTAGTTTGTTGCGATTAACTGGTTAATCAGTTGGAACGTCTTGCGGTTAACTGATAAGCTATTTGATCTGTATTCGATTGCCTTCCATAGTATATTCATGAAATGTGTATTACTCTCTGCAATAATTGAGATGTTTCTTGTATTTACAGAGTCCTCTCAGTGTGATATGGAAATGGCTACTAATTGTATACAGTATATTGGAAATATAGCTGTGTTTGGGGGAAGAACACCCATGATAGACAGAGCAGCTTCTTGCAGGTTTGAAATCTAGCTATCAAAATATTGTAAATTATGATCGGCAGGTTTTGTCACATGGTACAAATGCATGAACCTGTATGGAGGCTTGCATTAAATTAATTGTCAGACTTGATTTTACACAACTGAGTGAAAGTTCATCATTATCATTGTAACAGAAGTAAATGTTACAGTAATATACAGTGCATATAGAAAGGAAGTAAATATCAAAACTCATTAGTGTTTCACTTGATTGTTTTTTTAGAGACATTGCTATTTGGCAAAAATGTGTTCTTCATTCCACCATGCAGTGTTCAGCAAAACTCCGTATGAAGTTCTTAAATACAGCAAAGACCCTCAACAATCTTGTCCAATCAAAGGGCTTCTGTCTGGATGCTAAGGAGGTTGCTAAGGACTCCTTCAGGGCAGAGGTCATGAAAATGGAGTGTAATGAAAAGGAGGCTATGCAGTGTCTGGGCATGCTCAGTCTGTCCATTCAGCAGCAGTATTACATGGAAACCAGAAGTGCTGTTTGCTCGTAAGACTTCCTTATATTTTGTTATTGAACTGAAACTATGCACGAAAAGTACACTGTGAAAGGGGGAGGGGGTCTCTGGTAGTTAATTTTGAAGAAATTTTAAATTTCTCATTGTGCACTTCATTTTAAACAAATATTCATTCCCTTTTATTAACTTCTTGTTAATTTCATATTTTCATATTAAATGTGTATTTTTCATATTTTCATATTAAAGACACCTACTACCTGTCGAGGTCTGCATTGCTAAGAATACCCTGAAATGCATGCCTCATGTTCGCAAGAGCATTGAAGCAACCTACATGGATCTGAAAACCATTGCCAAGAATCTTTGTAAATCTCGCCCAAAGACAGAGGTGACCAACAATGACCACTGCCTGTCAGATATGCCAATGAAACAAAGCACTGTGTGCAGTATTCCAGAGGCCATGTATTGTATGAATTCTGTACATGCCAAGATACTCAAGATGGCTGAGCGCAAGGAGTCTGTCTGCAGGTATTTGAAAACTTCCTTTTAAGGTCTCTTGAAAATAAATTGAAAGTGTGTTTTTTGACATTTTTATAGATTTGAGATTTTGTACAGGTGTTAACAAAGATTTTAGCACTCCTATATTTTTAAACAAATAAATAAAAAATAACTATGACATGCATTTGTCATGAGAGTTCATAAGTAAATTTTTATTGGAATTTATTGGCAAAAGATGATTGCTGTTTGAATGATGGTAAACTTGCCAAATGTTTTCATTATCAACATATAGGAATGCTGAAACATTCTAATTCTTAGATATACATGAAAAATGTTTTCATTACAAAATAAAAGTTTAATTTGTGATTTAAAGAAGGATAACATATATCTTCAAAGAGATTTATGGTAATTTAAAGAGCTCCACATTGTTTTTGCTTGTTTTAGTGTGTTGCCTGAGCTGAGGACCTGTGTCTGGAAGTATGTAGGAGGTTGTGAGAGGTGCCAGCAGGACAGCGTATATCACACCATGCAGGACGTCTTCCGTCGACTCTCGAAGCTCTGTCCGAGTGCCATGTGTAATCCTTGTGGAGCTCGCTGGTGTGCAGATCAGCTCAACATGACCATGATGATGAAAAACAAGGAAATGGATGATCAGCATGATATGACGATGATGAAAGAAAAACAGATGTCATGTGTGTAAGTAGAAAGAACTTGATATGTTATATAGAGTATCTAGAACAAATACATGTACTAGAAAAAATTAATTTTCTATTGTTATGTTAAAAATCATTAAAAAACTAATGCATGCACTTGTTTTATATTGACAAATGGATTTGAACTGAAAGAATTTTACATGTATAGAAATTGAGATGAAAGTTCATCATGACTTTGAGAACCCATTTTCTGGGTTTAAACATTTATTAAACACATTTTAACAGTGATGTCTGGAAGACCCGTCAGTGCATGGAGATGAATCTGGCGACCTGCAGCCAGGAGGAGACCCATCACGTCAGGGACACTTTAGAGAGGAGAATGGCTCCCATGATCCCCACCACATGTCAGGCCAAACTTAAGTTCAGCGAGTGTGCTCTCCACTTCGCCGTCATGGCTCAAAAGATCATTGGGGTATCAGAGGATATGATGCCAAAAGGTGTGGACTCATTAAGACTGACAAAAATATTGTATCTCACATTTTAATGGAATTTAAAGGCTGGAAGATAATGTTGTTTTGAATTGAAAAAAAAAATGCTGTATGTTTTTATGATTGACATATAGAAATGATATATGCTGAAACACGTAGAATGATTTACGTGAACAATGATTTTATTGTTTACAGCTGTGTTGGCAGAGGTGCAGAAAATTATGGAGGAATATATGAAGAACATGCCTAAACCCCCTACATATGAGGAACAACTGAGGGCCGTGAGGAGACTGGTAAAGATTGTAGGCAGTATGGAGAAATCCCAGTCCTGTCCCCCCGAGTCTGACGGCTGGCCATGGGGACTCCCTGAAGATCGCCCAACACAGTGTAAGGAAGCTACATCAGCCTGGCATTGTATGGAAACACACATGCAGCAGCTTCCAATGGACAAAGTTCCTATGGTCAATGCCTCACTGCATCTTATTGGTCAACTGTTAAAGGACAAGTGTGATGGTAAGAAAATCTTACTAGAAAACCGAACAATGTAAACAGTACTTTAAGTTCTCAGTGGCATCAAAGAAATATATCTAAAGGGCTGAAGGGTTGGTATAATGTGTAATTTGAAGCACAGAATGATAGATCATACATGTATATTGGTTTCATGGTTTTCCTTGACATACATGTGTACATGTACATATTGATAGCATTACTGCATGTAAATAAATAGCAGAAAATGAATTGTAAAAAATGTATCTGGGTCAATACAGATTTCATAAGATTTTCTTTTAATTTTTTTTCCTTATGTTTTCCTTCACAGAAAAGCCTTTGAAGTGCTTTAGTTGTAAAAATGCTAAATCAAATGAGGAATGTAATACACAGCCCATGGAAACCTGCAAAGGACACAATCAGGTAAGTTTAAGGAAGAACACTATCATACAGTTCTGCTCTGTTCTTATGAAACATTGCAAAGATGTTCAAAAATATTACATGTATCTACATTTATTTGTTATTTTAACTTTGAAATCCTGGTTTTCTCTGCAGATGTGCTACACAGTAACGACACTTCCTAAATCTGTGAATGATACAGCAACAGATGAAAAAACACAAAACACCACAAAAGACAGACCCAAAAGAGAAGCTGATGATCGAGAGGACATGAAGGAAATGCATGGGTGGATCAGCAAGGGGTGTACAAGAAGAATTCCACTTCTTCAACAAGACACACAATGTATGGGTGAAGGAAAGTGTGAATATGCCTGTTATAAATCTGACTGTAACTACATGACTCACTCTGCCATCAGGGGTAAGCTTCATGATGCAAAAAAAAAATGCTTAAACTTGTAGTATCTTTTTCTGTTCTAAAATTTTACATTTTTTAAAGATCTGTTGATTGAAAATGTTTGAAGCATGAAAGTGTAGTTATTGCTGAGGTACAATATAACTTGCCCTTATTAACTTTCATTTATTGGAGGAGGGAGGCCTTTTAGCATACATGTAGTTAATATGTTCATTTTCATCTTTATCATAGATAATGCTGTTTTGCAATTAGTGTATTGAGAAATGCATCTTGTTTTTTCTCCTTTGATGGGGCTCATAAGGTCCCCTCTATTGATAAAGATAATTTGAAATAAAAAAAAATTGAGTGAGCGAATTCTTTAAATGTTTACAGATGACATGTCTTGTGACCCTAAGATGGCAGCTATTTGTGGAATGCATCTAGTGAGTGATCTGTTGTCTATGGAGAGAACAGATTGTGGGTGAGTCAGTCTTGACTTTGTTTATCCAGTTATGCACTTTAATATAAAATTTACTTGGTTGCTAGACCTCAAAGTCCTATGTTAAATACTATATACATATTTATGGTTTGCATTGTTTCTTGTGTTCCCAAGCAAATCTTCCAGATTATTGAAGAGACCAGTTTATAAGTCTTTTCCCCAAAAATTTTGTCCAGAAGACGAATTTTATCCAGATATACTGAAGTTCTACTGTACACTTTTGCAGGGGTATCTGTCTTCACAATCAATTTTTAAGCAATTTTCTTACAGGAAGGTTCAGGAGTATATGCAGTGTATGTATCATCACACTGCGAAGTGTATGTCCAGCAGTGACCAGCACATGCACATGCATGCCTTACAGTTGGCATCTACTCCGGGGCTAGTCCGGTGCTATGCAGAGCCAGAGATGTGCCAGTGTGGGCGTTGTACTGCATTGATATTCACCAATCTGGCCCAGAACCCTCTAATGTCTAGAGAACAAGTCTGCATGTAAGATTCAATTAAATACTTCATACTGCTCAATATTTTAAGCTCTGTTCACATGAAAGGGCATTCAATTTTTCCTTTGCAGTAAATAAATGTGAAGTAAAATAATGCAAATTGAATTAGGTAGTGTTTACTTGACAGTTAATGCAAAGCGAACTAATGCACATTAAACTTTCATTCAGATAATTCCGCAATTATGACATTATTTGCAAATTACATCACCTTGTGCAGAGCAGTTAATACCTTTGGCATAGTGTCATAATGTTTGTGTACACGTTTTAAGTGGATAACATTTTTCCTATTTTTAATAATAAAAACTAGCAAAAGGACCTACAGTGTATATCTGACAACTACATGTGGCATTTGACTTAATTTTATTATTATTGATGTATCAAAATTTAAATCGAATAAGCTTAGTGTGCACACAGAGTTAATGCAAAGTAATTTGATGTGCAGTGTATTAAATTAACGTAGTAATCAATTCACTTTAAAATTTGCATATGAACACGATTAAGATTTAATTCACAGTAACAGTTTAACTTGAATTTAACTCTTCCTGTAAAGAGAACATTGCTTCTTTATAAAATTGTTAGAATATTTTCCATAAAGACATGTTCAGATAGTTTCCATTAAATTCCCTTTCTTTAGTATATTGAAATGAAATCAGTCGAATTGTATTATGTTGGTATCATTCTATATAAATGTGAATTTTGATGATTTTGACATAGAATAAAAATTGTTTCTTAGAATGAATGATCTTTCTATATTTATATTTAAAAAAAACAGAAAAAAAACATTTAATACTTTTGCTTAATGTTCCATTTGTCGTTTTAGTATGTATTTTAAGGAGTTTTCCCCCCATTAAGCTCCCTCTGTCTTGGTTTCAGGGCTGCAGCTGAGGCTCAGTCTACCATCATGAAATCTGTAATGACCCAGGATTGTACCATGGAGGACATGAAGAATTTGTATGAGGCCACAGAACTAGGGATGTCCATGTTGGGAGATATGTGTAATCCTCCATTTATTGGAGGTAAAGGCAGTGGTTTTTTTGTGTCAGAAAAGAAGTCTGTATTTGAATTCTAAGTGTGGGAATAGTTTTCAGTTTGGTGCTATGCACACTGAATTTCAGCAAGTTTTTGTTCAAAGTTAGATAAGCTTAAACATGCAATATGATTTCTAAACCTGAAAATATCATTTTGATGCAAACTGAGTTAACTGAAAAAAGTAAATGGAAATAGGGGTTTCTGTATCAAAGAGAAGTCAGTTGTGTTTTGTTGTTTTCTGTAGCTGTACTTGGTAAGCCTAAGTACAACATGACATGTAGTAGAGAAGCTGCAGCCATGTGCCAAGAGTCCACACCATGGGAGGAATATGCCAAGAAAAATGACACCAGAGTTTGTGGGTAAGTTAAAAACTAAGTTCACAGACACTGATTTTTATGTACATTAATTTTATACATGTATTTAGTTATAGAGTACTGTCGTGTGGAAATTTATGTGTGGTTTTATCCTAAAAATGGCGATAAGAAATTTTTTTGCATAATTTTTCCCCAGTATCTTTGATACCAATATAATGAACTGAAATCCTTTTACATGTAATTTGTAGGATGGTGAGGAGAATGTTTTACTGCTCCCATCTCCACACTGAGAAATGTGTGTTGACACAGACTGAACTTACTGTGGCTATGGCTGCAATGTCCTCCATGATTGGGTCTCTGAAGCACCTGTGTGACTTCTCTCCATTTGAGAAGGCTGTTAAATCAGTTCAGAGCACTACCCAACTTAGTGTTGAACAGATTAGAGCAGTGTTAATGCAGGCATTTAAAGAGGACTCGCTGAAAGGAAGAGGTAAATTCTCAATGTATCAAAAATCTTCAGAGTGACACAGATTTATCAAAAATCTTCAATGTGACACAGTATCTCTTGCTATAAATCTCTCTTTATGAATCTGTTGCATATAATATAAAAGTAATATTTAGAGCAATACCTTCTGTATTGAAGAAAAATCTTTGAAACTTAAAAATATTTTTGCTATCCTTAGCATTTCTCAACACTATTTTCTTAATAAAAAAAAAAAATATGCTACAGTTTAGTCATGTTTTACATGATCAGTTTCTTTGAAACTTTTTTATTTTCATCTCTGGACTAAAATTAAAAAAAAAAAAAGAAGAAGAAGCTTATTTATTAAAGGGATTTGAACCTTCGAATTGATTAATATATGATAATTTTCTGACTCTGTTTTGTAGAAGTTCTTGACAATATGAAGGCGTTACAGAAGACTGTTGATGTTATGGAGAGGCAGCACATCTGTAAACCCTCAGTGGCTCTGCACAACTGCTTCTCCTATGTGGAGAATGTATCACCATCGGAATTCTGTGGGTAAGAACTTCTTGTAACTTTAGTACTTTGAAATACTTCTAAATTAAAATAACTTTGATTTGGGAAAAGATGGTACTTACATGTAAGTGAGATTTCTACAATATTTACTTTTCAAATTCTTTAATATATTTTTTATATTTCAGGGCTGCAAATAAAACACATGAGTGCATTGAAATGATGACCAAGGACTGTAACCCAATGCAGAGGGCACCTGTCAGCTACCTCTTTGGCAATATTCTGTACCAGGACCCCAGGCAGTGTGGAATCCCCAGCACACCAGCCCCAGAAGTCGCCAAAAGTCCATATTATCAGCTAGCTGCTTGTGCTGCAAATTACACGATGACTGTACAGAGGGCATATGCTACATCAGTGGCTCAAACTTCCATAGTTGACATGTGTGCTGCGGCCATTATGCTGGACAGATGTGTGTACCATACAGAGGTCAGCTCTACCGCCAAGGTCATGGTGGGTAGTATGGCCATGTTGACAAAAGAACTGGTGGACTTGTCCTGCGGTGCAGTACCTATGAGTAAGTAATGTAAACTTGACAAAAAGTTTTTTGGCTTATTTCTATTCAAGTATGTGAAAGAAATCTTGTTGTCTTCAAAATTAAAGGCATGAATCTATTCTTGTCAACTAATTTCAAGACATAACATATATTGGGAACACGTTTGAATGCAAAACAAAGCAGGTTTTTGAAAGTACGGTACTCACTTGTATTATTCAACAAAAAATGTAATGTAAAGGAGCAAAACTATAGTACTATGAATGTTAGAATGATCCCTTTAATAGCTAAAGCTGCATAATACAATGGTTAAGCATCAGTTGATGTTGTAGATTGGACAGGAGTGGCTTGTAAGAAAGATGATGTGGTTTGCGTGGTAATGAAGAACATGTCCAAACCTGTGGAAAAACAGGACCCTCCTCCACAAGGTTTTTTTTTAATGTTTTGTAAAATGATACTGTGTTCTTTTGTAGTGGCCCAACACCTAATTCTTTAAATTTTGATAGAATGCATTTTAGATTGGAAGTTGTAACTTTAAAGTTAATTGGTTAACTAATGTTCATTTTAGATTCTAAGAATTTGACTTCTGACTCTTTGTGCATTTGCATTTTTTTTTAAAAAGTCTGATCTGATCATACAGTGTTATGTTCATCCCATACATGTCAGAGTAACTTGATACCTGTCTTTGACTTTTTACAGAGCCCAGTACTTGTGAGGCAGTATATGCAGCAGGCTGTTTGGGTAATTATCTGATGAGGATCCTTACTTCAGCTTTTGTCCCTGTCAGTGAACAGGCTGATGTCTGCTGGTGAGTCTTTAGTAAAGTCCAAGTAGGAAAGAATTTTTTAATTCTGTAGAACATGAAAGCTATTTAGTGTTATGATAGGTCTACATTCATTAGTAAATATTGAATTTCTGTAAATTATTTGCGTGTTGAGATTTATTGCCCAAATTTAGGTACATTAGGCATTATAGATTATGGAGTATAATACAATATTGTGAATGGTATTTCCTTTGATTTATTATGGAAAACCGTCGTAACTAATCCTTTACACACAAACTTGTGGGTTTCTTCATACCACAAAAACAACAGAAATTCAACTCCACTAAAATAAGCAATTTTACAGTAATTCCCTGTAGTATTATAGTAACATTTCACAACTCAAATATACACTTACACTGTTATAGGGAGAGAATGTACATGGAACAGTGCGTCGTCTCTAGGACAGCCAGCTGTACCTATAATAGGAAAGAGGAGTTCCTGAATGCTGTGGAATGGTTCAAGAACATCACTAACCCTGGCTGCTCTGTCGTCACTACCTTCGAAAATGCCAACTGCTCCAAGGCTCAGGAGTGTGTAGCTATGGGTCTTTATTATCTGACAGAGAAAGAATCTTATGAGGACCTTGATGGATTTTGCTGGTATGTCACTCTGTGTAAACTAATAAAGCATAACTTGATGAAAACTGGTGTTAGTGCATTTGTGTTTGCAATTCTTTGGTTTGATATTGTCATTAAGTCAAGTCAATCGGCAAATAAAGATGCAAACAATAGATGGAATGCATTTCTGAAAAATTAATACAGATTCCAAAATTTAAAAGCACATATGGTTTTATCACTTTCCAGTTGGAAGACAGATATGCTGGTAGACATAATTAGACAATGTTCACTCATGTACAGCTGCATGCCACTTATTTATTATTTTGAAACTACTTTACAGGGGGGCATCAGAGATTGCCAAGTGTATTGAACACCATGCATCCAACTGCTCTCGACAGGACATAGTGAACATTAGGGAGGGGGTGGAAATAATGGGCAATGTGACCCACTTTTACTGTCCACACTTGGATGCTCAAATATGTCCCCTGAGTAAGATGGAAGGAAGCACCCCAGGAGCTGTGTGTCAAGTTAACAACATGAGGATGTGTATAAACAGATTTTATGAGCAGACACATGAAGATCTTAAACTGAGTGATCAGCAGTATTGCTCGTAAGTAATTTCCCCCTAAAAAAAGTTGATGTGGACATATTTAACCCCCCCCCCCCCCTTAAAAAAAAAACAAACTCTAAATTGTGGCCACCTAAAATAAAAAAAAAGAAAAGAATATTAACAAGGACAGAAATGTTTCATACTGAAATTGAAAAAATTGTATTTCAGAATATTGTCCCAGACCACAGACTGTGTAATGAGGAATTCCAGTAACTGCCATCCAGAGACTGTTAACGAGATGAAGGAACTCATCATTCCTGGGATCCTTAAGGCTAACGTGAACTGTTCCATCCTCACTCAGACTTATCTATCCTACACCTCATGTCCAATTGTTGGAAACTGCTCCATTGCTTATGCCATGGGGAAAATTACAGAGGCTGTTGCCCAGTCTCAGATTCAAGGAGTTAATCAGTGCAAGTAAGGGTCATTTATTGTTTTATTCCTCAGAAAAAAACCCTAAGGGGACTGCTTTATACTTCAATATTTAAAAGAAGTAACTTTAAAATTTGTCAGAGATGAATTCAGAAATACATTGTATATTGTACTTTACTTTAATTCTTTGTAGCCTCTTCTTTTCTGTGCAAAATGAGTTGTTACAACAGACATGTTTCCCAGTGGAGACGTCCATTATCAACAAGGCACTCCTCCAGTTCAGTGGTTATCTAAATGAAGCATATGGTTGTAATAAACAAACCCTTGGAATCAGGCAGGTACCGGGAGTTGTCTTTGATAACTCTGAACTTGCCAAATGTGCAGATGAAATGGGAGAGAATTTAGGAAATGCTCTAGCCAATCCACGTTATGGAGTATGGGATATCTGTGACTCGGCTCAGAAGTACCATGGATGTCTGAAGACGCTCTTCAGTAAGGCCAAGAGCACCAGGGAGAAGTTCATCAGGATGACAATGAAGAAATCATACATGGATATTGAGAGTTTTGTCAACGGAACATGTGCCAAACTGAGTAAGTTACCGGCTTTAGTCAATCTTTAGGAAAAAAATTCAAAACATTCTGGGCTTTGCAGTGAAGTAAAAAAAAATTCCATGTAATTTAAGTGTATCATGTATCACGTATCCTTTATTCTTACAGATATGACCCAACTTAGGCCCGTGTCACCAGCTGCTGGTGAGTTATTTTTAATTACATTATTTATTTATCTGCTTTAGATAACTTGTAATGAAAATAGTTTTTGTAGATATAAGTAACTATATGTTCATGTAAGGTAAGGCAAAATTCAATAATATGGAAAACTGAAAATAATTTTTTTTTTTTTTCAGAACCAAGAACCTGTGCTAAAAGCCTTGCTGTGGGATGTGTATTGTCCTTCTCCCAGCAGGCAATGCTCACAGGTCAGTTAAGACCTGGAGACACCGAGCAGTTGTGCAGGTTTGTTGACTAATTTATTTTTAAATATGTCAATTTAATCAATGCCCAAAGTGTTACAGGAACTTTTTCTGACAGGAGAAATGTGCGTCTGTAACAGCTCTGTGAAAGGTAAATAGAGTGTTACTCCAATATTGCAAGGCAGGGAAAAACAGACAATTTTCTTTTACCGTGCTTGGATGTCCAAAAAAAAAAAAAATCAAGAATATGCTCAAAATAAAGAAATTGTACATGTTCTTTCATTGTTCTGTAGGTCCAGAATTGATTATTACCACTGTATGAAGAATGTCACAGCCGGATGTTCAAATGGATTCACTACCCAACTCCAGACAATGCTGTCATTGGCTGATTCAGTCCTGATGGGGTCTGGTCAGTGTCCGGATGATGTCATGATGCAGGCCAAACGAATGCAGGAGGAGGCATATATGGAAATGGTTTACGGACCTGCCAGGAATGACATCACAATTAAACTTGTCACAAGAATGATGATGGACAGGATGCAATATAAACAGAAAGATGATGAGGAGGGAGAGATGGGAGAAGATGACGAGGATGATAAGGAAGGAATGGATAAGGATGACATGAAGGAAGAAATGGATAAGGGTGGCAAGGAGGATATGGAAAAAGATGACAAGATGGAAGACGATGATGAAATGGACAAAGAGGAGTAAGGAAGAAGATAAATGAATATATAAGATAATCAAATTAATAGAAATAGTGCACTTATGTGTATATTGCAATAATTATTGAAAAGAGCAGGTTTAAGACAAATTTTGGTGTCAAGAGTACTGATACATGTACGGTATAATTGTTAAAAAAAATTTTTTAATAAAAACTAGGTATACAGTTGTTTTTTTTTTTTTTTAAATTGATATTTGTTAGATATTTTAGGTGAAAGACAAAAGGGATTCAACTATTGTTTAATGAATTAGTCATTTTCCTTTGAATAATCCAGTCCGTTTTCTATTTAGGATGGGAGATAAATCTGATATGAAGACTATGGGTAAAATGATGAAGGGATGTAATACCAGAATGGCATCCAGATGTATGATGTATTTCTCCAATATTGTTATCAAGGTCAACAGGTCAAATGTCATGGGTCATTGCAGGTTAGTAGATGTTTAAAAAAAAAAATACAGTTCCAACTCATTCAGTTCTGTTTTTGCTTAATTAGCAATTCAAGAGTAAAATCTTTTCCGAATAAGACAGATAAAGCAGTTGATATAAACCCATCTGTAATGTATAATCATGTAAATTTACAGGGAACTGGAAAAAGCCATGCCATGTGTGTGGAACAATGTCAAGGAATGTGACGAGGTCACTCAATATGTTGCTGTTGACACTATCAAAAAGGTGACCCATTATGGAATGAGCATGTGTAAAGCAGCCATGTACAAAATGATGAGGTCAGGAAATATGTCTATGTCGGAGAGAGAGGAAATGGGAAGAATGATGATGTCACAGAACATGTCTGAATCCATGAGAGAGGAGATGAGAGAAATGATGGGTAACTCGGGCATGTCAATGTCAGAGGACTCAGAAGACTCGATGAACAGAATGGAGGAGGAAGAAATGGATGACATGGAAAGAGAGATGATGGATGGGAAAAGGATGAAGGCCAGATTGGAGAGGATGTTCAGTAACATGGATCCAGTGACTGAGGTTCGAGAAAGGGTGATGTCCTTTATGGCCGAAGGTGGGGAGATTGGAGATAACTTGCAGGCAATAATGAAGCTCCTTAGTGTGGCCCCTGAGGATGGAATGTGTGTGGATCCAGCCAAGTACAAAGAGTTTGGTAGATGTGACCCTGCTGTGGCTATGGAGTGTCTGTTGAGTGTGGATAGGGAACTTCTTAACCCTATGTCAACTAGATCTAGGCTGTGTTTGTAAGTAAATTGAAATGTCTCATTTATTACAAAATTTTTTGGCAAGTTCTACTGCTTTATAGTACTTTTTCTTTTTTTTTTAATCACTTTTGGAAAACCTACTTGTCACGATTATGACTTATATAAGAAAATGGGATGGCAATTGATTGCAAAATATCAAGGTTCAGCCTGATTATCTGGTAATCAATTGACCTATATAAGTGCATATTTATCATTTCCAAAATCCATTATTTTTTTTACATTGAACAAAATTTAGAAGAAAATGGAAACAAATGAATAAGAAAAGCAAATACTTGTGAATTTAAGGTATTTTTACATTGTTTCAAGATCACTATATATACCACATATCAGAAGAAGTATTACAATTATTTTTGTGCTTAGGAATATGATTTGGTTAGAAGCATCCATTGGCAAGGAAATTTTTTAAACTGATTATCCTCAGTCAGACCAACTAATCAAAACACCAATGATGTTTGTAGTAAAAGTACAATATTAATTCCATATCAGTGTTATCAGTGTTGTCCTTTCAGTAGATTTCCTCTTTTGCAGGAAGCAGAATATCGCCATGCGTTGCTATGCAGCTATGACAGTGGGCTGTGATCACATGACAAGCACCATGCTGGGTGTGTCAATGTCACTTATGATGTACAAAACGGGAGACAAGTGTGAGACAAAGTGGGCCTCCCCATGTAAACAGGAGGAAGACAGACAGTGTGAGATGGAGGAGGCAGAAGAATGTCTGGAAGGACTTCACAAAGTCGTGCTGGCTGCTAAAGACTTCTTACCAGGATCTGCTACCCAAATGTGCATGTATGTCCTACATGTTTTAAATTGTTCATATTTTTTTATTGAATCTTTTAGAAGAGAGGCAAAGTAAGTCATGAAAACAACAGATGAACAAAATTGTATTGAATTGAAGCTGAACTCAGCTCATAAAAGGAAGAGATTTATACTTGTCTGCCATATTTCACTTCATTTGCTTTATTTCTGGAGCCCCTATATGAAGCCTGTCTCCTTCACGGTTCAAAGTATTTTGCTGTATAGATCTCACTTGTGTGGACGTATCTTACATTGCCATTGATAGTTGCTAGAATTATTCAATATATGCAACTATACCATATCAGGAATAAAAGTAACATCAATTGCATAGTCGTATTACAAACAAACAATCGCAAAAGTACATAAATCAATGAAATAGAATGTAAATACAGTGGCGCCTCGTTAATCCGGACGCCTCCGTCCCCAACGAAATCGTCCGGATAAATGAATCGTCCGGATAAGTGAATCACTTCTTAAAAGACGTACCCTCTCAAAACATGTACATATGAACAGTGGTATCAAATGTGAAGGAAAACACCTTTATTTTACCTTGGCTTATTGATTTTATTTTTATAGTTTTAAAAGCAATAATCAATATTTAAAAAAAACTTCCTTTTCTAACACAAGAAACTTTACTCGCCTTCTATTTGACGTGTAGTTACATGGGCTGACCAAATTTTGCTCTGCTACTGCTTTATTTCGGCACATTTTTTTTTTATTTATTCATGCTCATATTAAGTAGAACTATTCATTATCACCATTGAGAATGTTCAAATGACTAACCGCGTATATTCACTACATAGGGAAATAAGTAACTAAACAATGTAATCAGTGTACGTATTGCAAATATTCAACGTAAACATAAGCCATATTCAGGGTTATCAATACTTTTTCTAAAAACTCTAAGTTATATACCTTGAAAAAACGTGATCGGCATTTATAACTAATGCCAGTTACGTATTTCTTAGCGCATTAAATAGAAATATATTTTCTTGAATTATGTATCATAATAAATAGTCTTATGAAAAAAAAAAACCGTTTCAAATGATGTACGTTTTGAGAATTGGAAAATCGTTTTTTGATGAACTTACGCAACTCAATACTACAACGAAATCTCGTGATTTATTATTCAGTAAAAAAAATTTATTTACAACTCTCCAAAATTCTCATAAATTTATAAACCGTTAGCAATTTATTGTATTCTGAACGGATTTATATTTAATTAATGCACAGTATAAGCTAAATTCTTCGGGCTTTATGATATAAAAGACGTGTGTTTTATCTGAGGTAAACACACGCTAATTATAGACGCTATTGTTTAGAGGTCACAGGTAACCGCCTTCAAACTGACTCCACGGACAATGTTTTTACAATAATTATCACTACTGCAAGAAAGGTGTGAAAAGTCGTTCCTCGAAAAATTACCGTCCGCATAAACGAGTCATTTTTCAATGAAATTTTACGTTTTGTAGTAGAAATTGACCGTCCGGATCCGGAACGCGAATTTCCGGATAAATGAGACAGAATAACGTGGAAAAAATCGGTTCCCAGAAAATATCGTCCGGAAGGTGAAGCGTCCGGATTATTGGCGTCCGGATTACCGCGGCGCCACTGTACTAAGAAATGCTACACATCATCCATGAGTGTCCTATCAGGTGCACCCTACACCCTAGTGCTAATATCAGGGATAGGAAAACTAATGTGGTGTATCATGTTCAGCTTTAAGAAAAAAAACAAAAAATTGGTAAAAGTCATGTCACAATAGGCAAAATTGTGTATTCTTAAATTTCCAAATGTTTAGGGAAATTGCAAGTTCAAATTTAATTTCATTTTAAACTGTTTCAGGGTTGCCACAAAGACAAAGCAGTGTTTGATGGAAAAACTTGCTCACTGTGACACCAAAACTAAATATGGATTCCACGACGCATTGCGACCTGCTATACAGACTCTGGACTACATCTGTGAAACCATGCCAGCCCTGGGCTGTGTCACCTCCTTCCTCTGGAAGTCAGCATCTTCTGTTCTCCTCACTTCTGATTTAGCCAAGGTAGGCTCAGCTGTTCAAACCATGAAGTTCTTCCGAGAACAGAACATGAGCATGCCTGATGCACTTCAGGAGAAGATGTGGAAAGAGATGGGAGATAGATTGAATGGATCTAGAAGTGAGGCTATGACTATGTATGCTGGATGGCTGGGTAGGCTGACTGGTAAAGCTCCGGAGTGCATGGAGAAGGAAGATAACATGCATGGAATGGAAGGTGTGCTGACAAGTGTGTCTGGACTGATCAAACTGACCATGATGGAAAGTGGATTGGTTCATCCAGAGATGGACTTTGTTGAACATGTAGAAATGATGATCAGTATGGATGATAAAGACAGTGTGTTGTCTATGGCCATAAGTGCTATTAATAGAACACTCGTGGAACACGATATGCATCTGAACCACTCCTATCTGATAAGAACTGCTGTCAAAGAAATTGTACAGATGGGGGATAGTACCAAAATGTTGCAATTCTTTTATGCCAAGATGGCTAAGAGCATGATTATGAAGACCATGGAGAAGATGGGTATGAAAATGAAGATGGATGAGATGGAAGAGGAAGAAATGGAGATGGAGATGCAGAGATGGATGGTTGCTGAGCTCGCTAACAAAGTCCGTGAGATGATGCCCAATATGACAAGGATGATGAGGTCACCAGACTACACTATTGAATACTTGTCAAAATCAATGGAGGTTATGAAGATGAAGAAATGGTCTTCATGTTCAGAGCTTGCAGAGGCAGCAAGATGTCTGGAGAGGTATACTCATCTGATCCCAGCTGAGTCTCGAGCCACTTTGAATGTCACCATGCATGCACTCTTTACAGTTGCAGGAGCAGTTTGTGAACGTAAGCATCATTCCTATAATATTGCTGAATTTTGATTTCTTCTTGCTTCTGTTTTATATTTTTTGTTGTTTTTATTCTGTCGAAAGTTGGTAAATCTGAATAAAAAAACAATGAAACCATGTCCTTGCAAATTACTTACTGTATTTTAATGCAAAAATTTATTTGCAGCTACCAAGTGCTTCCAGTGTAATGGAATGACAAATAATGAGCAATGTAACCTACAAGGGTTCATGACCTGTGACCCAGGTCAAGGTTGTACCACCACAGTTGCTGATGGAAAGATCTACAAGGGATGTGCTTATCCTACTGATGACTATAAAGATGACAGAATGAACTTTATGACTTGCATGGAGAGCTGGTGCAACAAACCACTGATGACTACACACAAAGGTAGAATCAGCATAAAAGTTATACATTCCTCAGTTATTATCTTCAAATGTTGAATTTTGATGAGAAGTAAAGTTTTTGGTAGTATTTGATGGAAATTGATTATTTTTTTTTCTTTGATAAATCACTGTTTTATTTTTGAAGAAAAAGACCCAATGTGTCAGCCATACATGGCCATACAATGTGGAATGGACCTTGTGCCTAGCCTTGTCCTGAACAGAACACCCAACATGAGGTAATCTATAATATGCTCATCTAGAGGTTAATTTATGTAATACAGTAAAACGCGATATAAACAAACAAGAATTCTCTACATTCATTAAGCTCATAATATATTTTAAAACTGCAGAGAATGAAAATCTCTTTGCTGTAAGTGTATGCATACTGACAGTGTTTTGGAATAACTTGGAGTGTTACTTACATCCATGAAATTTCAGTACCAGGACAGCTGAATTGAGAACACATTTATTTTGATATTTTATCTATTTTGACTTGTCAGGGATATATACAAGGCATCGTGGTGTATGGATTACCACACCTCTCGTTGTGTGCATCGTGGCCACCAGGCTGCCAGTCAGCTAGGATTCATGATCAAGCGTACAGCACTAGAGGGCGCTTGTGCTGGGGACCCGGCTCAGTACGAGTGTGGACTTCGCAGTGTCATTGGACTGGCTACAGCCATCAACAAACCAGCCATCTCCAGGGCAGCTATTTGCTAGTGAGTGATTGCATCTTTGGAGCATAGCAGAAATATTTTTTTTTACTTGTACTTCAGAACTCTGTGTAATAAAATGGATCTCTTCATATTTTTTTTTTTTTGGTAAAACAATACTTTGTGTTTCATTTAAGTAATGGGCAGCTATTCATTCTTCTTATTAAATGTGTTTATCTTATTAAGGTACCAGTTTATTACATAAATTAAGTCTTTAATTAATCAAAGCCCTCTGCATTTTTTCTTATTTACAGTGAACTAAATAACACTTTGACCATGATCAGAACAGCACAGGCTCACAATAAATGCTCCGAGTATGATTCTATAGCTGTTTACGAGGGAATAAAAACCATCATGCAGATTTTGGGTCATGACTATTGTCCAGGCATGATGGCTCGAGATAATGCTTCCTGTGAGATGATGACTAGGATGATGTTAGGGGACAACAAAGATTCCAAGTGTGAAGTGGAAGAAATTTCCCAGTGTGTGGAGGAACACAAACTGCTACACTCTCTAGTCATGATGTCGGACATGGAGAAAATGAAAGCCACAAAGAATGCTCGGCCAAGGGATTACGATCAAGTGTGCATGTAGGTCGTGTGTGGAAAACTTTTTTTGTAATCTGTCATTTAACATGTGGTATTACTTTGATGTCAGACTTTAAATAATGATTCAGTTGCAATCAGTATGTTCCCTAAAGAACTGGCTACCAGCCAAATTGACTGCTTTAATAGATAAAAATGCCACTTTGTAATTTAAAAAATCAAAATTTAATTGTTGTAAGGTCAACAGAGATTTGTCATATACCTCAACCCAAAGCCTGTTACAATTGATCTCTAACCCTTTACTTTGAAATAAAGGGAGAACACTGTGCAATATGTTGAATTATTATTTTATGTACACCTCTGTAGTATTCATCAGAAACTATTTATAATTTTTTTAGTAGTAATAAGGTAATTCCCTCCTTTTCAGGGAGCTATTTTTGGCATCTCGCTGTATAAGTTCTAAGATTAACAGTTGCAGTCAAACCATTCAACATCAAGTAATGAGAAATGTGACAAACAAGATGGGATTTTTCATCAGACACTGTCCAATCTCCAACATGATGCATGAGATGTGTAGTCCTCTACCCATGCCTGAGCAAGTGTGCAATATTCCTTTTGTTAAAGATGCATGCTTTGGCAGGTTTATCTCTGAAAGTGAAATGTGCAGGTAAGTGACATTCTTCTTATAATTAAAGTGTTTCAGCAGTTATTTTGTAACCTAAAATTTTGTTCAAAATATAGCATTAAGCTTGATACATTGTAATTTCTATCTATAATATGAAGTCTACTTGATATGATAATGTACTGTTATCGTTGACAAGTGTTGGATTCTTTAGCCCTAACAATTTGATTTTATATATCCTTTTGCTAGTGGCTAGGCAAGAGCAGACAATGGATGCATGTATCTTTTTTTTTTCAATCTTTTTTACAAAAGTGTGGATAGGTCAGACCTTATGACCACTTTGGGTTGCATTGCCAACCACACCTCTGGATGTGCAGTAGCCCAAGGTGTTCCTGTATTTAACATGGTATTTGATGTCATGGCCAGAGTAACCATGAAATGTGGTGCGCTCAACAGAGTTTTCCAAGATAACCAGGTAAAGCATAATACATTTTATTCCTTAGCTAATATATGAGAAAGTAAGACAGTCACTGTTTTATTTTAAGTTCTAATATAAACTGTGACTAGATGCCATCTTTAACATGCTTTATAAAATGAGATACAGTACATGAATATTTACATGTAAGGAACAGACTTCAGGAAGATTTTTTTAAAGCTTATTATGAAATATTATTGAGATAATAACTATTCTACTGAAAGTTACGGTGACCGATGTTTGAAAATTTTCATAATAATTTTCAAGACTTGATGAATTAAAATACCTTTTCCTACATTTGTAGAATATGTACAAAATGACAGAGGAAATGGTTGCAAAGATGATTATGGAGTACAACATAATGATGAAGACGGATAATGAAAGAGATAACAAGCCAATGTCAGGCATTCTCAACTCTATGTTGATGGCCAAGTATGCACAGAAGACCCAGAACATGACTGCCGAGGTTGTGTTTGCTAGTTTGTCACCACTCCTACGTAACGTGACCACGGAAATGGAAAACGCTGCACAGTAAGTCTGTCTTAAAATGACACGAGTGGTTGGAAGAACGACTAGAATTTATGATGGTATTAAACAAAAGAATTTTTGGATAAAATGATATGATGAATTAAATCTTAAATTTACAATCATGATGTTGATATTGTAGGATGGCCTTATTTGGAGATGAGACCAAGGGTGTAGCAGTCTGTAACCTTGACTACATAGCTAGCTTCAGGAGAGCCCTGATGAACCCAGACTGGTTTGGCCCTGTATTCTGTGAAGCTCTCGCTGAGTTAACATCCTGTCTGAGCCGCCAGAATCTCTCACCAGTGGCCCAGAGCAGTGTCATGTACATGATGAATGAAATGGCTGGATACACAACTGAGGCTTGTAAGGGTTATTCCGAGCAAGTCATGTGGAAGGGCTGGATGTTGTGGAACCTGACCCAGGGAATGGCCAAGATGCCAGCTTACGCTAGACTTGAGGAGCTGTCCAAACACATGGCGAATGGCACTCAGGACAAAATGAACCTGACAGCTAAGGAGGTGGCAGGCATGCTTGATGCCAGCATAGGATCTGTGGTTGACCATATGCTTCAAGGTAATGGAGATATTTTCTTGTAATTTTTTTATATTTCCAGTTTTAGGGTGTTATATGAAGGGAAATGGAAAGGAATTTTTTCTGGTTTCAGAGAATTTATAAACAATTGTATGCAAGTTATGGAAGAAAAATACATGCTTCCCTGCATTCACCAATACAATGAATTTCCTCCTTGTGTCTTGGACACCACAGACAGCTATAGAGGTTTAATAACTAGAATAAGAAGTTCAACATAATTATGTGTTTTTCAGGAAATGAGACATGTGATGTATACAAGATTTCCGCAATCATCTCTGGATTCTCAGCACAACTAGTGGGACCTTTTGTTCCTGTATCACAGCATCCAGTTCTGTGCGAGTAAGTTACAGAAAATGATTGGGTATTTACTTCCTTGATCTACTGATTTTGAACATGTACATGTTTGGAAGTGAATAGTGTGAAAAATGTTAAGAGTTGCATAAGATGTACATATAGTTTATGTGCCACATTTTTTTTGGCACAGTTTCAAGAGGAGTTAATTGAAAGTTTTCATTCTTATCCTCAAGATGTTTTGGTTTTGCATATAGTGAATTGTAGAATCTTGAAAGGAAAGTTCAGAGAAATATATATTTACATATAGCTTTCATGTTTTACAGTATTTTGAACAACTCTGTAATACCGGAATTACGTCCACTGATAGCGAAGTGTTCACCAGCTCACCAGTTGTTGTACATGGCTGTGATGGGAACTATTGTTAATCAAACAAAACCAATCTGTGATCAGCCAGCCAATAACAGAGTGGCACCCCCACCTCTGTGTAAAGTGGATGAAGCTTACGGTTGTTACATGGCAGTTTTCCCCTATCTCAGCAGCAGGGCAGCTCCTCAGGACAAACTCTGCAGGTGTGCTTTTCATATGTACTTTGCTTTTGGTTTTGATTTCAGTTCATTGTGTCACCAGTGATTTGAATGAACATTTTACACAAATGGTAAGTCTGTGTGCACAGTCTTTCATTTAGCTATATTAAAATTGAAAATGATGTCAAATCTTAAAATTCAGGTATGATATACATGTACATGCAGTATGGAAATTAGTTAAGCAAAAACTATTGAAAAATGTATTGCATATTAAGAAAATTTTATGTTATATTTTAGGGCATACCATTATGCTGTAGCCTGTGTAGAGAAGCATACTGTGTCCTGTACAACGGATCAGAAGATAGGACTGTCCTATATACAGGATTATGTACAGAGTGTGATCGGGGACACCTGTCCATTTGTCCAGGCACTTAGACAATGTTACAGCACCAGCAGCAGTAACTACATCTGTAATGTCAAGAAGGCCAAGGAATGTATTTCTGTACTAGGGGACTACAGCAAAGGAGTCACAAAAGAAACCTGCAGGTAAGCTGATAACATGTAGAAGGGAAATGATATTCTGTTGGGCATCATAAATAAATGGATAATAAGACACACGTCAGGTAATTTCCTAAAGTATGAGTCTTGGTAGGGGTACTTCTTGTCGCATTAAAATCATCTTATCATTCTTTTGTAAACGCAAGGTAAATTTCATGTAAATATCCCATGGAGAACCCCTTCTTTTTAAACTTAGTGAAAAGGGAAAGACAAGGCAAAGAGGGAAAACTTTGCAGTAGAAGAAATGTTATTATTATAAATACATTTTGTTTGTTTCCATTTTTTCAGTAAACTTCCGCAGATGTTGGAGTGCTACAGTACTCAGACTGCTGGGTGCTCTGGCTCCGATATACATGATGTGTCCTCCTACTTGGAGGTTCTGATGCCAGCATACAAAGTCCTCCCATACTGTTATAGTCAGGACATGTCAGCCACATTGTATCGCAGCTGTCAACCCCCACCCACTTGCTCCCTAGAGGAGGCAGGAAATTGTTATGCTCCCCTGCTAAGCAAGACATCTTGCACGTATGTAGACTCTGTATTTCTTTCTCATTTCCATATACATTCTGTTGAAGAGTGCATTAATTGGAATTTTTCTGATTTTAATTTGAATGGGATTCATATGAAGCATTGCAAATAAGAAACTAGGAGACTAATTGTTCAGAGAACAATTAGAGGCCTTTCCACCTTTTTAAGTGTTTCCGTGTCATTTGGGTTGAGGAAAAAGTAGAAAAATGCAAAAAATGGGGGGGGGGGGGGGGGAAATTTTGCTCCTCCAGCAGGGATCGAACCCAAAACCCTTGGATTGAAAGGCAGGTGCGCTAACCATTCGGCCACGCATTCTGATATCATTCCTAAGTTAATTGTTTAAGACTATAGAAGAAATGCAAGCGTATTTTTAGAATCGGTAGGGGAAGAAAGAAGTTCCGTAAAAGGAAATAGTTCCTGAATTTGCAAGCAGTATATTAAATAATAAGGGACGGGCTGCATAAGAAAACATTAACACTGTTCCCTAATGAAAATGTATTAATGGACTGTAGCCCGATTCATCGATATTGTGAGCATGCTGAATTTTTTGTAAATAGCTTTGTTGTAAGCTTAAAAGATCGGGTTCGGATTTTAACATTTCTGACTGAATATCCTGAAATAACTATGAAACATTTAAATAAGCATTTCTTTGGGTTTAATTAAATATGTGTAGCCCAAATTAAACTCCCAACATGCATTTTTAGAAGGGAAACATGACAATGAAAGCGAGAATTGTTTTTAATATACCGAAAATCGCTATTTCTGGAAACTGATTAATTCTAAATAAAAATCAAATAAATTCCAAATGTAAAAGAAAGAGAGAATGCTTGGTATTAAAATGTCGTATCATATCAGGAGAATTGAATGCTACTAACGACATCTGAAGAAATAGCCGATAAAAGGTTTTGATCATTTCTTCGTTCACCTGCACTTAAATTTCAAACACAACAGAACTTGTAGTTTTTGCCGTGAAACTTCATGACTTCTATAAACTTATAAGACTCACCGTAAAACTCTCCAGAAAGTTTCTCTGAGGTCTATACTACATTTGTACCAAATTTGGTGTCGATCCGAGGTCTGGTTTGAATTCTAGAGTAATATTCTACGTTGTTGTTGATGTGATTTTTTTTTTTTTTTTTTTTTTTTTTTTTAAGAAGGGGGGGGGGGGGTGAATTATTTATTTTATGCCTCTTTTAAACTACGAATTGTAACTACTTCCACATCCTCAAGTCTTATTGTGACCTTTGAGTCAAGGTCAAAGGTCAAGGTCATTACAAAAAAAAAACAAAAAAAAAAAACAAGAAATTTTTACTTTCTGTGTTCTTACCTGATACTGGAGCTGGATGCATGTCCTAACTTTTCCATTTGACCCAATGTCAAGGTCAAAGGTCAAGGTCAGAATTCAAGGTCATTTGGTGAATTGCTATATTTTACACATATATAAGGGATTTCTTATGTTTTTAAATGACCTTGACCTTTGACCTTGACCTATATTTCAAGGTCAAAGGTCAAATATGCCGATGCAGTTGGTCCCATGTCTCTAGGATACACCGTTTTAAAAATAAGTTCATTAAATGTAAGTAGCGCAAACTTTCAGGGGCAGTAACTCATACGAGGGACCAAAGAATGCTTTCGCAATGATAGAATGAAGAGAGTACTAAATGAGTCGAAGACACTGATGAAGGTTTGGAATCTCTACGGTTCACGGTTTCGGAGGAGTAGCGATAACAAGGTTTTGTTGCAAAAGGGGTGACAACTTTTGAATGGGTCAAGCTCGGGGGACAAGAATGAAATCTTTGAAATAGTTTTAGAAGGACATACTATAGATGCAAAGATATTCAGTATATGTTGAAAAACAAAAGAGATATTAAAAAAGCTAATTTTCTCATATTTTGAATGACCTTGACCTTTGACCTTCACAAAAATTTCAAGGTCAGAGGTCACAAAATCTAATGCAGTTGGTCCCATGTCTTTACGACTTATCGTTTAGAGAATTTTGTCATTATTCGTAAACATCAAAAACTCTCAGGGGCAGTAATTTATTAAAGGGCTCGACAAATCGTTTCGCAATGAAAAGATTGAAAAGTCCTCTCGAGTAGTCGAAAACATTGGTGAAGGTTCTGTATCTCTACGGTTTATGGTTTCGAAGGAGTAGCAATAACAGGCTATTCTTGCGAAAGGGGCAATAACTTCGTAAGAGGTCATGGGTCAAACACGGGGGGTCGTTTTTCGAAATAACTTTTAATGTCCAGTATCATGAACTATAAAGTTTTTCGATAAGTCTTGCGGTTTCAAAAGTCCGGGAAGAAAAAGAATAATAATAATAATAATAATAAACATAAGCATTTCAAGAGGTCTTTCCACAGAAAGGTGGAAAGACCTAATTACATGACTGATAGGTATTCGCAGTTTGTTTAAGTGTATATAGTTTACTTGTATTCAATTTGTTATAATGCCTACTTTTCTCAGACTGATAGATTTATTCATAGCCTTTGTGCTGTATTTGCAGTGAGCAAGAAGCCTTTTCCATAAAGAACTGTGCTGCCAGACACTTGCGAGGCTGTAACATGATTCAGCTGCAGATCTTTGACTCCCAGCTGTGGTTCGGCAGACAGAACATGGGGTCCTGTAATGCTTTTTCAATAGACAGCTCCCTCATCCCATCGACACTATCAGCAGAAGCACAGGGCCTCAAACAGTGTGGAAATATGTTTATTGGGAACATCACTGCCGCTCTTCAAACCAGCAGCAGTTCTCTAGAGAGGATCTGCAGGAGCATGCAAATGATGTATGAGTGTTTGATGTACAACCAGTCTGAGGACGCCAGGAAGTTCCTGACAGCTATGTATGGGAATTCCTTCGCCTTGACGGCAGAGCTGACGGAGCAGGTCTGTGCACAAGTGAATACAGGAGAAACCTCCATGGAAGCAAAAACAAGTAAGATTAGAGGAAAATAAAGTTAAGCCATAACAGAAATTTTCCTTGATAGAATCATGAGCTTCTACATCAGTTAGTCATTCTTAATCATTGTAAATGGACTAATTTGTTTAATTCAATTGTGAATCTTGAAAATTATTTCACTGTAAATTAAAATAAATTTTCTCCTTTGACTAGATGACCAGTCAGCTGGATCATGCGACACTAAAATGGCAGCTCAGTGTTTGGCTGCCTATACTTTCCCTGTGGTATTCTCAGCCAATCTAAACAGAGGAGACAAGAAAGCTTTCTGTAGGTAAGTAGTGAGGACTTTCTAACAACCACAGTTTGATTGCTGAAAGTTTTAAGAAAATAAAGCTTTATATCTAAATTTTGTCAACACATGATGGAAGGTTTGTTTAGATGAGGAATTCCTTTTTAAATTATCCAAATCTACTAAATGTACCATCATTGTAGTGATGGAGCCTTCCAGTCGTGTCTCACTCTTGTAAAGTCATCCATGAGTCAATGTAGCCCTGCAGAAGTAGAACAGTTAGGAAGCTACCACACTTTCCTGGTCACCATCAGAGACTTCTCTGGGGTGTGTGATGAACATTTTGCTACCTGTTCACCAAATGATCTGATGACCTGCGGCATGGAAACCACTGAGATGATGAAGAAGATGGCTGTAGAGAGGAACATGACAAACAACAAAGATGATAATCCTTACTGCAGGTATTATGTGTAATTTTTTCTTCTTTAAAAATTCTGCATTGTTAGTTTGTTAAAAAGAGAAATTGATGTAATAAATAGGGATTTATCAACACAAAATTAAGTAGTGATTTTCATTATTTTTCCCCTTGTGGAAATGTCTTAATTTAAAATCTTCCTTTTTTAGGTCACCTGAGTCACTCAGGTGACCTATTGCTATCTGTTCTCGTCCGTCGGCGTGCGTCGTGCGGTGTGCGTCGTGTGTTAACATTTGAACATTTTTAGCTTCTTCTCTGAAACCGCTTAACCAATTTCAACCAAATTTGGCATATAGCATCTATGGGTGAAGGGGAACAAAAATGGTGAATTTCATGGTCCCTGCCCCCCTGGGACCTGAGGGGTGGGGCTAAAACCACTGAAAATAATGCAATCTTTAAAAATCTTCTTCTTTACTCCAGGACATCAAGCAGTCAAACTGTTGGCATCATAGTAATAAGCATTGAGCCCTCTACCAAAATTGTGAAATTCATGGCCCCAGGGTCAGGGGTTCTGGTGCTAGGGTGGGGCTATATAGAACATATAGTGAAAGTGCATTATTTCTTTGAAAATCTTCTTCTCTGCTCCTGGGTATTAAATAAACTAAATAAGTACATAGTTATGAAGAGCAAGAGTGCCTCATCCAAAATTGTGAATTTCATGGCCCCAGGGTCAGGGGTTCTGGTGTTAGGGCGGGGCTCTATTGATTATGTAGTGAAAATGCATGAATTCTTTGAAAATCTTCTTCTCTGCTCCTGGGTATTAAATAAAGTAACTAAGTACATAGTTATGATGAGCAAGAGTGCCTCTTCCGAAATTGTGAATTTCATGGCCTCAGGGTCAGGGGTTCTGGTGTTAGGGCGGGGCTCTATTGATTATATAGTGAAAATGCAGTAATTCTATGAAAATCCTTTTCTGTGCTCCTGGGTATTAAATAAAGTAACTAAGTACATAGTTATGATGAGCAAGAGTGCCTCTTCCAAAATTGTGAATTTCATGGCCCCAGGGTCAGGAGTTCTGGTGTTGGGGGGGGGGGGGGCTCTATTGATTGTATAGTAGAATTGCAGTAATTCTATGAAAATCCTTTTCTGTGCTCCTGGTTATTAAATAAAGTAACTAAGTACATAGTTATGAAGAGCAAGAGTACTTCTCCCAAAATTGTGAATTTCATGGCCCCAGGGTCAGGGGTTCTGGTGTTAGGGCGGGGCTCTATTGATTATGTAGTGAAAATGCATGAATTCTTTGAAAATCTTCTTCTCTGCTCCTGGGTATTAAATAAAGTAACTTAGTACATAGTTATGATGAGCAAGAGTGCCTCTTCCGAAATTGTGAATTTCATGGCCTCAGGGTCAGGGGTTCTGGTGTTAGGGCGGGGCTCTACTGATTATATAGTGAAAATGCAGTAATTCTATGAAAATCCTTTTCTGTGCTCCTGGGTATTAAATAAAGTAACTAAGTACATAGTTATGATGAGCAAGAGTGCCTCTTCCAAAATTGTGAATTTCATGGCCCCAGGGTCAGGGGTTCTGGTGTTGGGGGGGGGGGGGGGCTCTATTGATTGTATAGTAGAATTGCAGTAATTCTATGAAAATCCTTTTCTGTGCTCCTGGTTATTAAATAAAGTAACTAAGTACATAGTTATGAAGAGCAAGAGTACTTCTTCCAAAATTGTGAAATTCATGGCCCCAGGGTCAGGGGTTCTGGTGTTAGGGGGGGGGGGGGCTCTATTGATTATATAGTGAAAATGCATTAATTCTTAGAAAATCTTTTCTGCTCCTGGGTATTAAATAAAATAACTAAGTACATAGTTATGATGAGCAAGAGTGCCTCTTCCAAAATTGTGAATTTCATGGCCCCAGGGTCAGGGGTTCTGGTGTTAGAGGGGGGGGGCTCTATTGATTATATAGGGAAAGGGCATGAATTCTTTCAAAATCTTCTCTGCTCCTGGGTATTTTTCAAACAAAGGAAGTGCATGGTTATGATAAGGAAGAATGCCTCTTCCAAAATTGTGAAATTCATGGCCCCTGGGTCAGGGGTTCGGGGGGGGGGGGGGAGCTCTATTGATTACATTTATATAGTGAAAATGCTTAATTTCTGTCAAAAATTTTTATCTACTCCTGGTTATAAACTAAAGAAACAAGTGTATAGTTATGATGAGAAAGGGTGCTTCTTCCAGAATTGTGAGTTCGTGGCCAATGGGTCAGATGTTCTGGTGTAAGGATGGGGCTTTATTTATTTAATAATATGGTGAAAATGCATTTCTTTGAAAATTGTCTATGCTTCTTTGGATGTTCAAGACAAACAGAGTAAAAGTTTTAATATGCAAGGGTATTTTTACCAGAATTTTGAACACCTGGACCATTTAGTCAAGTTTTCTGGTCCTGGCCAGGGCTCTATTAACTTGTATTCTACTGAGCAAAGTTATTCCCCTTCATTCACCTTTGATAATTAATCAATTTACCTAATGTATTTGAAAGCTTAATAGAATAAGAGAATTATGCAAGAAAATTTATTGTATAATAAAAAAAGTACTTTCATAGTTTTAATGACTTGGAAATAATAGATGAATAAAAATGAGACAAAAATAACCTATCTTTTTAAATGTTCTTCAACGGCCAAGAGAGGCCATTGTGAGAAGGAATAATATGGGCTTGAATAATAGACATTTTGTTAATAGTCTGCATGGGAATAGTGATAAATGGGGGGGGGGGGGGGGCAGATAGATACTAGACCAATTATTTTGTTGATGCTAATCATACTATTTTCTTGCTGTTGGGCAACAAAGCTTCATTTATCAGTTTATGGATCCTCTAAATTGTTGTATTGTACTCAGGTGACCGTTAAGGCCCTTGGGCCTCTTGTATTATTTTGATAATTCTCAAATAGAGTAAGAAAAAAGATTAAATTGCCATTGCAATGTGAACTATACATGTTCTTAATGTACAATATTTTTTTCCAGTCATTTTGGGGCAACCATGAATTGTTTAAGATCAAACTCATTTGGCTGCTCCAAAGAAATCAAAATGGAGGTTGTAAGAGGAGCAGAAGAGGCATATTGCATTGCCAGTGACCTTCTCAAGTCCTGTGACAAAATGGAAGAGCCCAAAATGGAGTTGCCAAAATGTATGAAAAAGGGACCTATGACTGCCACTTGTAACACGACAGCAGCCTTTGCCTGTCTTAAATACCTGTACTGGGAATTGGAAAGTCCATTTGTGGATTGCAGCACAATGCACGAGTAAGTGAGATGCAAGGGGGTTGAAGTGGAAGATGAAAAATATAAATATCTATGTTTAAATTTGGATAAGAAGTTTCATCTTTATAGAAATAATTGTTAAAATTGTGTTTTTAAGAATAAATTGGTAAATATTAAAGTGCATGTTTACATGATTATATGTTGCATTAAATGCTTTCTTTAGGACATACACAACTGCAATGCAGTGCTACATGGAGAACATAGGAAACTGCTCATCAGGACAGATGATGGTAGCTAACCACATGCTGGGTATGATACACAAAGCCGTGTACAATGTTTGTCCAATGATTCCCGGACACTCCTGCCAGGAACCAATGAGTTGTGAGGCAGACCAGGCCATGTACTGTGTGGAAAGTCTCGATCGTTTGTTGTCTGAAAATAATAACATGGAGAATGCTCACATGTGCATGTAGGTGTCTGTTTTTATGTGGAAACTTACTGTGTTTTAACCTTGCTCAGTTAAATTAGTATTAAAGCTTTTAATGTGCTAAATGCTTTCTTTCAAATTCCAAATGGACAATAATGAGACATTAAAGATATATGTACATGTACCATGCATAATTATAATAAATATTATTTAATTAAATAGGGCCATTGATATGGCACATGCCTGTGTAATGGACAAGACTAGTCGCTGCTCCATGTTTAGTAAGGGAGCCCTAGATATGGCCTTGAGTGCAGTCAAGGACAAGGCAGCCAAAGCAAAGAAAATGGACTGCTCTAATACCCTGGACCTCTGCATGAATAAGTTCTATTACTCTTCTCTTGGAGTACTTCAGGGAGAAATGATGATGACCAATGTGTCCAAGATCCGCAATCAAGTTACCTCTCAGGTAAACATGTACAGTTAATGGAGAAGTGTCAGTATTACTTAAATACAAGTAGTGTTAAAGATATTAGACTAAGATATTGTTAAAATCGGACAGATTAACCAAGGTTTGTACTATGGGTAAAAGATATCAATTTTGTGTTCTTTTATAAATTGCAGTGTAGATGTTTGTTGTTGTTAAGATTTACTGTTGGCTTAATGCCTAGTAGATATTTTAAGCTTAAGAAATTCTACAGATGTATCCATTTATTGACTTTAAGTACAGTCACTGTTCAGAGTTTTTTAACATTCCATCTTACATTTATATATTTGTATCCATCATTGAATGTTTCTGTACATTTCAGATGACATGGGACATGATTATGGGTAATGACCCCATGATGAAGATGAGTCAGTGGAAGATGTCAATGGACAACATCTCATCATCTGTCATCGACATGATGTCAAAGGAAATGGAAAAGTCCATGGCAAAAATGATGAAGGAAGACAAGAGCAGTGAAGGGAAGATGGCAGCATTTAACCTGCACGTCTTGGATCTTATGACACGAGGACTGAAGAGTCACCAAGACATGTACTTAAAGGTCAAAGCCATGCAGTGCATGGGGGCAACCCAGGCTTTTAATTGTATTGTAAATAACCTCCGTAGCTCATCATCTGGTCTTCGTAGTGATGTAGCTGGCTTCATCGCGGGCGTCGGATCAGAGCTTTATGTGGTCATTAATGACATGTGTGCTAAGGAGAGGTCCTGTGATTTAATGGAGGGTGAGATTTAATAACAGAGATGTGAATTTTTCAGTTTGCATGATTTATTCCTTTGTATTTGGGAATATCTTGAATGACTCATGATGAGCAAGTTTTCTTACTGAATATTGCTTAGATTGGAGTAGAAAAGAAAATTGTGAGAAAAAAAAAGTTCTTTTTTTTAGAGCCAGACACATGCCAGATTCTCCCAGCGGCCACACTTGCCATGAACCAGGTTGGATCAATCAAGGACATGAAAGCTTTCTGCGAGTAAGTTATTACTCGACTTAAATTGGTATACTGAATTTTATGAATGATTCCGGCCTTAATATACTTAGGTACATGTATATCATGTGATAAAGAGATACCTTTTTTTTTTTTACAAATCATTTATTTAGTACATATTAAAGGTCCTGACTCGAAATTTATTGAATACATATTTTTCTGCTTTCTCTTACAAGTATGCTGCCTCACACCATTCAGAATGTCACAGCATTAATCCAGAGTTGTAAGGATGATGAGGTAAGCTATCACTTCCAGGGTGCATTGTCCGAGATGAAGGCAGCGAAGGACACTATTTGTAGGTCACAGACAGACTGTCAACTGGATGCAGCCAAGAAATGTATCAGTGCCTTCCAGACCAACCCCAGCTGCAGGTCAGTAATCTAGATTTTTGATATCACTGAATTGAATGTGTTGTTAATACAATTTTACATTATAAATTACAAAGGGAAATAGCCTTTAGATGATGGATATTTAGATGTTTATCTAGATAACAGCTTTTCAAAATTAATCAGGTAGATTTTAAGTTGAATTCAGTGACAGTAAACATTGCTTGCCTGTGTATTTATTTTGTAAGTGATTATTGAGAATTATACTGTAAAATACTTGATTTAATAGATTTATATGTTTTTCCCTATTTTCAGTGCTTATGAAAGTACCCTGCAGTGTGTGACAGCCAATCTTAAGTCTTGTGATGGAGATACAGTCCGACGTACAGAATTAGAACTACAAACATTGTATGACAAGATTGCAGCTACCTGTATTCCACTGCCAAATCTTGTAGTATGCACATTCTTTACATTTAGACACTTGTATTCTGCAATTGTTATTCTTAATTAAAGAGAATGGCAGTCACTTGACATAAAATTTTACTCAATTATGAAGCATATTGTTACATATTTAAACTGTATTGCTTTATTGAACATATTGATTTGTCTTGTACTTGGCTTATATAACATGGCTTGTGTAATTTTGATATTTGTAGACAAGTATCAATGCCAAGTCCACCCTGCGGCTGGTAGAGGGAGGGACAGAAGAGAAACTTGGTCTGAAGCTTTCAGAGTCCCCCAGTGACAAGTGTGAGTCTGGAAAAACATGCCAGGTCAAGGTCAAACTCCAGCTTAGCAACAATCCTGTCTCCACACCTATGTAAGTGGTCTAAATAAATGTTAAATATTGCATAATTAAAACATTAGATAAAAATCATATGATTAGTAATGTATGTAGGTGTATGATTATGTCTTTATTCCAGAGAGGATTTTAATTTATTCATAAATGTGCCAGCTACTGTGTTTGTTGTCACTGACCACCTTCAAAATTTCAGTTTACTACTCTTGACATTTATCTATTGGTTCTTGAAGGTGCACTGGAAATCAAGAAAGAATACCACAAGTAGTTGTGCATAAAGCAAATGGTGTTGCAGATCCTTGTACTTTCACTTTCACTTCTGACAACTGGGAGAGAGGCACACAGATCCCCTTGGTGGCCAGTAGTGATATGTTGTACGACAGAGTTCAGGATGTCAACTTAAGTATGGTGATGGAGAAATACACAGACAATCAGCTGGTTCTTACCAGACAGTTGCCAGACATGAAGGTATTTCATTATTTTATGATTATGAAAGGAAGTATGCAGGAACAATTTGTGCAAGACGTGATGCACCAACGAAGCAGTTTTGACTCTTTAACTATCACAATAGGTAAAGATTAATTAGCATGTACCTAAATGTTTTCTGTTTGTTTTGTAGCTTGTTGCAACCGACACTGATCAGCCAGCTTTCTGTTCATCTTCCGACTCTTATATTGTTACTTTTGATGGAATGTAAGCATCTATTTGCTTATCAGATTTATATGAAGCACTCAAATACATGTTGTGCTATATTATTTTCATATATTTTACGTTTTACATATTATCTATTCTCAGGACAGTCAAGAACAGATACAGAGGAGAATTTACATTGTACAAGCATGCTACCATGCCATATGAGGTAAAAAATAAACTTATTCTAATCATAATTCTCTATAAATCCTATAAAGATAAATCCAAATTGTCAAAGCATCCCATAAGATCATGTTTTCTTTTGTTTTAGGTACACATTCTGAATCAGGCTTGCACTTCGCGATCTCGAACCTGTACTTGTGCAGCTATGGTGAAGTCACAGGATGATGTTCTAGTGGTTGATGTGTGTACTAAGGCCCAAGGCTCTCCATTAGAATCACCAGTCAAGTTATACAAGAATGGAGACCTTGCTCAAGGTACCAAGATCTACCAGGACAATGATGGAAATCTTATCATGGTAAGACTGGGGTCATAGGAGTACTTTCTACATTTTTATTGAGTGTTTTTTTATCCAACTGAGATGTATAAAGAATAACATTCCATGTTTTTAATTTTTTTATGTTTTTAAATGATTAAAAAAATATCTAGTACTGTTTTTGTATCAGAAAGTCCATTTTGTTTTAAGGTTGAGTTACCCACTGCTGCTCTGGTGGTGATTCAAAGAGAGTCGAGCAATAAACTGGGTGTATTTGTGGTGCCTTCATCTTTGGACTGGCTCAGATCTGAAGGTTTGTTCCTTGATTTTAGTTTGCCTACATGTACATTGTTAGGGCAGATCTCTTATGAATGATACTTACATGTCTTCCTTGTAATCATGTTTTAGATTTATGAAATGAATGAATTTTTAACTGTCAAGAAATGTGTTCTTCTTCCATTAGGATTGTGTGGTGTGTATGATGCCAACAAGAACAACGATATGGCCATGCCTGTAACTGGTAGTCTGACTACCAACAAAGCTCACTTCATCAAAGGATGGAGGTAAGTGCAAAAATGCCATAGATATGATTATATTTAATATTTTCTCATCCTTCTTACATGAAAAAATTATCTTGTAATATACTGATGTTGATTCCATCATTTCCATGTGTTCTTTCATAGGAATAAGGCTGGGGACAGTCTGTACATTGGAGCACCTGCAGATCCAACATACCAACCTCCGGTTTACTGTACCTGTACTGGTGATAACAGTCTGGTTCAGAACCGATGTGAACCAATGCTCATATCAAAGACATGTCCACTCACTACATCAGGTATGTTTATTTTTTTTTTTAAATAAATATAAGAGGCTTTAACTTTGATTGCCTCCTGCAAAAGGAAATCTGATAAATATTTGACAGAGTTCACTGAAAAATTGTTTGGCTGTTCTTAAAACGGGTAACTTTTTGACAATTTCAACCGTATTTTTGACCAATTACCTTTGTTTTTAAGGCAAGGATGTGACTGCAGGTATGGTAGAGCTGTCTAATTCTGTTGGTAACCGGAGAAACAAGAGAGCTGTTGAGAGTCCTTGGGCAGGACTGTCTGGTATTGATGCAAACTATGATCCTCAGGTAAATACAAGATGTAATGTGCTGTAGTAAATATTGCTAGTATGTATTTAAAACAAATGATGAAATGATGCTAATTAAAAATGTCAGCATGGTATTTTCTCTTACTCTCTTCAATTGCATAAAGAAAAGAAAAGTTGGGAGGCCTTAATTTTTAAATAAAAATCAAAAATATGTTTCTAGATAAAGTGTGCTTAGAAAGATTTTTTTTTCAAATATTTATTCTTCCCATTGTGAAGTTGGAAAAATTTCTTCAGAATTAAAAATAACTTACACTGTAGATATACAGTCAAACCTTGTTTTAATGAACTCGATGGGACCAAAAATAAAAAATGTCCAGTTATCCGAGGATTTGAGATAAAAGCAAAGAAAATGTGCGATAGACTCCCAACTTACTTTGTCAGTGTTGGAGATATCAAAGTTCAACTGTATTCATACTGTACATGTACATAAATTGGCATATTCAAAATTTAATTAGCACAATCACTGGGTATGGAGTTGTTGGCGTAATCATGAATTAGCGCTTCACATGTCCATTCCATATATTATATATAAATGATTTCTTAGCGGATATTTATGAATTAGTGCATCGTTGTCTGCGCCAAAGCCGCTAAAATATGAAGCCCGCTTTTTAAAGTACACATACAGTATATACAGATTTAAGTGAAATTGTGTTTAACATATATGCCTGCAATTTAAATAGGACACAGAACTGACGAGGTCTGCTTCAGGTAACTGGACTCTGACAACAGCTGGTCAATACTGTGACAACATGATGGGAAGCAGTACACTGATGAACAAATGTCAGACACTGGTGGGCTCTAGTTTTACAGAGGCCATCAAAGACATCTGTGTCCAAACCATACTGGTTAGTATGTTGGCTGTATAATGTTGGATTTCTTCGAGAGAATTGCAGTTAATATTTTGATGTTTAAAGCTAAGAGCATTGATACTTTTTTTTGAGACATTAGACATTTGTTAAGATATTCACAAAAAGCTCTTCTTGTCTATTGACTGTTGTACATAAACGCCTCATCATATCTACTTTTAGGTCTATCAACAATAAACGCCTCATCATATCTACTTTTAGGTCTATCAACACCTTTCATAAATATTAATTTTAATAGGTTTTAAGTTATCTTTGATAGATAACAATTTACATGTGGTAATGGCAGGGGAGTAAAATATTGGCAAGGGAAGTAAAGATGTAGTGTTTGCAAACATACATTTTATTAAGATGACTTCATAGATTGTTCCGATTTCAACTAAATATCACAAGTACATTTATATCTCATGATTTGATGTTTCTGAAAACAAATTACCTGCATATTACAGACAAACGATGGAACCAGTGGTGTATCTATAGACAGCATTGTTAAGGTACAGTGTGAAGCCCAGCTGACCAAGATGGCTCCCGCCATGAGTACGGACACAAGCTTCCAAACTCTGTCAGCAGAAATCATGAATCTGGTTTGTCCTAATGACTGTAGCAGCAATGGGCAGTGTGAAGGAGGTAAGAATAAAGTGAAAGTAGCATGTATCATCTACTGTTGTCAACCAGTAACAGTTAACCAAAGATTTGAGTATTGGTTAGTAAAAGTACTACTTGTTACCTGGATTTTATGCATTTTTTAGAAAACAAAGGTAAAGCATTTATTTGCAAATAAAGATTGATATTATAACGATGGAAAGAATTAAGGTAATAAGAGATAAAGTACAGTAATATTTGTTAAGTTTCTAAGAAAGGGGAACACATATACTGTTACTTAATATATAAACCTACAGTCAAAATTTTTTGGGTCATGTAAAGCAGAACTCAAGAACGCTTGAATTGTATTTTTCCAATCAGGTTTTTTTTGTTTAAAAGACCAGTTAACATGGTTAACTTAGCTTCAGTTGAATTGAATTTTGTACAAATTTGATTTTCTTTCTATACTCAAAATTAATTTTCACAAATGTGTAATTTCTATGTTCTCCCTACAATTTAGGACTTGTTTTATTCCAGGTCAATGTAAATGTTATCGTGACTACATTGGAGCTGACTGCTCTATTCAGGAGTCAGCAGCACCCTCTATCACAAGCCTGGAAGCAGATGGTCTGTGTTCTCTACAGAATGGAGGCTGTAGGACAGTGCTGGTATCTGGTGGACCATTCTCTGAGGATCTGTCTCCAAAATGTCACTACCAGGCTACTCAGGTAGGCTCTCAGCATGACCTGTTGATCAGATTGTACAGAAAGCGCTGATAAACAACATAAACAGTTTGGACTGCTTTTTTTATGATTAAAGGTTTAATATCAACACCAGCACTACAAACATTCATTTGTTTTTTTTACTAAGAAGAAAATACTTATAATTTATATGAATTAATGCAACATTTATTTGCAGTGTCCTTGTGCAGTGTGTTGTAAAATCAAATTTAAGCCAAATTTCAATATTTCACAAACATCAATATTTTGGTGTTTGAAATATTCTTTTGTTTAAGAAATAACTTTGAATTCATACTCTGATATTAATCCTTCTTTTATAGATGACCGCTAATGGTTTCTCAGCAACAGGCAGTGTCATCCACTCACCTGCACAGTTTATGACCTCCACCCTGCTGGTGTGTACCCTCCCAGACTCCATGTCACCAGCCACTGGCACTGCTGTCTCAGCTGTCAGTCTGTCTGTCAGTAACAATGGGCAGGCCGTCAGCCAACCCAGACTCTTCATTGCTTACCACCCAATGTGTTATGTGTGTGAAAGCAGTGGTCGTTGTAACAGTACAGTAAGTTATAATGTTATTAAGTGACTGTATTTATTTCTGTAACTACATGTACATGTCTTGCTTCACATTGCATCAGTAAAAATTGCAGAACTCTATCGAATAGTCATTTGGCTGCAGCAAATTCACAGTTTTGAACTTTTCAATGTTTCTTGTGTAGACAACAGGATGTGTTATTGGTGGTAAATGCTACATTGCCAATGAAGTCAATCCCAGCAGTGTTTGTGACTTCTGTGATCCTGTCACAGTAACTACAGAATGGACCAAAAAAATTGGTAGGTATAATTAGTGAAAGAAATAAAGTTAATATATTTTAAACAACTTACAATTCAGAACAGGAACACTGATATTTTCACTACTGTTAAAGTACATGTAAACTCAAAAGTCATATATTCCTTTCTTAAATGCATACCTTTTCACCCTGTCCCACCTTCCTGGAGATCACTCCTGCAAAATAGTCTTATCCTTCCCCCCTCCTCCAAAAAAAAAACAAAAGCAAAAACCAGTCTCCTGCACAGGAGGCAGAATTCTTCTGCAAACCTATCTAGACCAACAAAAAATAGAAGTGGCAAAAATTAAGTTTTTCAATTTATACACCATGCATTTTTGTGTACTTCTTACTAGCTTTTCTTTACTTATTCAATGAATCAATGATTTCCATATTGGTTCATATAATTTGTAGTGCCTGGATGCCCTGGATCAGATTCTAACCCTACCTCTACCACCACAAAGGCTACCACTCCTAGTAACCCTAATGGTGCAGGTGGTCAGGGACAGAACAAGGAGTGTTCCACCCCGGCCCCAGTGGTAGAGCAGGATAAGACATTAGCCATCATTCTTGGTGCCTTTGCTGCCCTCTTCTTCCTCACTACTGTGGTCATGGGTTGTAAGGCTTGTCGCACATCAGGGTAAGCACACATTTTATCAGTAGAACTAGCTTGCTGCAGTGAATTCTAATGTAGTATTTTTTAATCACTGAGAGATTACAGTTACGGCCATTTGAGTTCTTAACTCCAAAGAAAATGGTACTTGCAAGACTTTTTTTCAAAAATGATTTTGTATAGAATATTTCATTAGTTAAATAAAAGTAGTAAATAATTCTAGTCCACACAAAATGGAATTTTGGCGAGAAGTGTATCATTGACTATACTGTAGTGTCCATATAAAAAACAGTTTGAATTATGAAAACATGTTTAAGAATCATTAACAAGAAATATATCATTAAACTCTCTGTGATTAATTTCTCAATAACAACAGTAGATGACTGTAAGATTGCATGTAAGATCTAGTAACCTGTGATAAGTAGTAATTGCATTACTAACACCAGTTTTTTAACCAAGTAACTCCTTAATAGCTTTTTTTTCCAAGTATAATGAACATGTTTATTTATTACACTGCATATTTTTACCAAGTTTCCAAAGCACTGCTTGTAAAATGCACTTTACAGAATAACAGGTGCCTACATGTACATTTCTTTCTTTTTGGATTGAAACCCATTTTCTCTTGACCATGCCTACCTCAGCTCCACAATTGAAGAAAATTTGAAACATGGCATTTCCCATCCAAGACAAATGATTGGATCCTCTAAAGTTGTACAGTGGTTTTGATGGAAGAAGTGACTATGAGATGAAAATGGAATAATGTGTATGGATTACAGGAAAGGTTTTTCGATAAGGATGAAGACATCAATGATTCCAGATGGACACAAGAATACATACATCTTCCCTAGTAGATCATGCCACCTGACAAAGGAAATGGAATACTATCTATCTGTTTTAATTTGACCTTGTAGATCTCTAGATAGGTTTTCTTAAATCCTATGCTTGTAATCTAGACTCCAAGAATCTGCACTCTAGTGTGCTGGTATTCAAAAAGAAATTCAGAGATGAGAGATTTTCTTAAACACTTATCTGGACTTTCAAGATTTTGTGCTTCTTTGTAATGGAAATCTGAAGGAAATCAGATGAATGATAGTTAGACTTTCTTGAGAATCTTCATGCTTTAATGTGCTGGGAGTCTTAAGAAAACTCAGATGAGATGATAAATTTTCTTAAAAAACACATCTGGAATTGTAAAAATCTTCCTATTTAATGTGTGGAAGTCTGACTGAAATACAAAGAAGATGAAAGAATTTCTTAAACTTTAGGCTTCTTTGAACTTTCAAGGATCTGTGTGCTTTAGTTTGCTGGAAATCTGAAGGAAATTTGGGGATGAGAGAACACTACCCAATTGTTAATAGCTTCCTCTGCTCACTTAACTTTCCCTTAGTTTCTGCTGCTAATTTTTTTTTGTTTTTTATGTAAAATTCAAGTTCAGTAGAAAGATATAGCACTTAAAAAGAGTGTGTTTCTATTCTGTGCACTTCCACTAGCTCTTTTTCCTTATTCTCAGTAGCTGTCTTTGATGGAATTTTCATTTTGGATCAGTCATGTTAATATAAATGCAAAAAAATGAAAATGAATTAAAAAAAAAATAAATAAATAAAATTCCAGAAATTATGATCACAAAATAAGTTGTATAAATACTCTATTTTTTCCTTTAGAAATATTCTCTTAACAATTTGGGTAGTTGTGTGTTATGTATTATACTGAATACTGACCTTGCAGGGGAACAAAACACAAATCTCTCATGTCAGATGACAAAGAGTCCAAGCTGAGTTCAAATTCAGCATCCTCCATAGAAGAGAAAAATACCTCGGCTTTTGTCAATGAAACATACAATGACAATATTAAGGAAGTGGTTGTTGACCCAAAGAGTTCCTTTGTTTATGGAGCTGTTGCTACTAAAACTGAACCCAAAGCTAAAGGAAGCGACCCAACCAGTCTATATCCTGATGTAGAAGGAGTTGAAAATTAAAGAAGAACACTAACATATAGAAAGTAATACTTTAGTCACACTTATTATGGTAAAATGGATAACTCTGTGTAGTCATGCACATAACATAGAAATTGTGGACTTGGGTTTTGTAAATATATGAAGTAAGATATACATGCTATTTTTATTAAAAAATATGTACTGTGGAATCATTTTAAATCATGGGGGTCAATGTTTGTGGAGTTCAAAATCTTGTTTGTTGGGAATACATGTAGTTAAGGGGTATCTTGTACATGTATATACAGAAGATTCAACAAACTTATAGTTGACAAATCTTTCATGGGAATGTAAATTTTTTGTCAAGGGTAACCCACTAAGTCCAAGAACATTGCTTATTCATGACCAATGATGATTCCTCGGTATTACAAATATATGTGGTGATATCACTTTTTGTTTGTATTGTATTTATTAAAATTTGCATCTCATTTCATAAAATTTTAAGTCATAAATTTAAGGTGAAAAACTCAGAGCTGCCAAACCTTACAATTTTGGCATAAGGCTTACATTTTCAGTGTCTAAAGTATGCCTCACAATTTCTCAGTTTTTTGCTTCCAATTTCCATTTTTCTTCATCAAAAATGTGAGATATCAGAATTTTCATAGTTGTCCACCCTCAGTTTTCACTGTTTTAAAATTTAAAAAGTCCTAGTCCTTTCCCTTGATTGTATTGTCATTGTCTGTTTCTGTGGTAACTTGCAATCTAAATCATTTGAAAGTAGACAAAATGGGTGGAAAAATCAAAATCAGTGTCCAGGGGGCCTAGGCAGCCTCTGGACCCCAACCTTATGATTTTCCACTTCATGATGTTGGCAGCTCTGAAAACTTCTTTACAAGGAACTTGATGCCTTTTGACTTCCCAACTAACAGTATTACAGTACAATAATTGAATTTGGCTGAACATTTAGAATGTAAAAAAGAAAAGAATACCATCCAGTAAATAAATTAAGGTGCTAAGAGCAAATTCAGATCAAACTTTTATCAGGAACTTGTCTTGAATTGCTCAGATTGTCAAGGGACTTTCTCTACTTGCAGGTCTTCAAAGAGTAGTAATGGAAAATCTTCAGGATCTAGTAGTATTGAAGACCCAAAAGACTTTGATAATGTAGGTTTTACACCCTACACCAAACAGAATGTATATAATGCTGGTCCTATAGTAGAGGATCCACCTACTAAAGATCCACCCCTTAGTACATTTGGAAAATTCCAAGATAATGCTGCTTTTGAAAATGAGGGTGCCTCTGCTACTCCACTGTGATAAATATATCTAACATATCCGTTTTAGTTCTTTTGTTCATGTATAATCAATTTACTTGCATTGAAATCAGTGTTTCATGAGTTAATTTTACAACATATTTTCTTTTCTTTTTTTTTACTTAATACTTGTTGATGCAAATTGAAACTTAGCTTTAACAATTTTGTACATATCAATTCATCAGATTTCTTTACCTTTCATTATAGATTATATTTTTGTTACATCATGCATACTCAGAAAAAGTTATATATACTGCAGGGTAAAGATACTATCTATGTATATTGTTGCTGCCATGTTAAAAGTTCATATAAAATTGTATTTTCTATTCTTTTCTAATAAAACAACCATAAATCTTTATTGTTTTTTTGAGTACAATGGGGGAAGAGAGAGCAAATGGAACATCCTCAGACACCAATATTCCATTCAGTAAACAGCTTCCGACATAATTGATGAATAACATTCACCGTCCTTAGCCTTTGATGATTTAACCCTGGTATTTATAGTGTTTTCCCCCAGGGTACCACAGTGTAGGAAGTATGAAACTGAAAAGTCATTGATATTCTATATATGAAATTGTGTCCATAATTGAGTAGACAACTATATGTATTGTTGTCATTAACTTTCCTGTGTTGATTCTGGAATCAAGAAGCTACTTCCTTGAGTCACATCACCTCTGTAGCGAGTAGGAAACGGAAAGGATGTGATACTCTTTAAAGGAGATGGGCGAACAAGGCATGCAAAATGCCTATAACTTCAAATGCATGAAAGTTATATTCAACTTGTGAATTCAGTATTTTGAGTGAAGTTCTTATTAAGAACTTTTCAGCTGAAAATTATTTTGGAGAAAATTTTTCTAATTTGAAGATAAAAAAAAAAAGTATTATTTGTGGGGTTCAAACCCAAGCAATAAAATCCTGAGAACGATACAAATGTTAATTGTGTTAAAAAAAGGTGTGTTTTTAGGATAAATTGGTTCTATGCTCCATGTTTTTGTTACCCCAAAATAGAACATTTTTATGCTTTGAGTATAATTTTAAAAAAACAAGATGTGTTTGTGAAACACTGATGCCCCCGTATGGCAGCTTATGGCAAAGGTTAAAGTTTCTCAAATGCATGTCTAATTCCAGGTCAAAAGATCAAAATTGTTGGTATCAAAAGAAAGGTCTGTTCAAAAACTGTTCAAAAGTTATGGTGAAGGTTAAAGTTTTTTAAAAGAAAATAAAAGGTCAAATGAGGCCCCAAGGGAAGGTCTTGTCAAAAGTGATACACATGTTCGTGAAATGTGAAAGCCCTAGAACCGAACGTTCACATGTTATGGCCAAGGTTAAAATTTTTTAAAAGTAGGTCAAACTCCAAGGTCAAGGTCAATGCCAAAATTGTTGGTATCCAAAAGAAAGTCTTGTCCCAAGGAATGCACATGTGAAGTATGAAAGCCGTAGCACCAAATGTTTAAAGGGTATGGCAAAGATTAAAGATTTTCAAAAGTAGGTCAAACTCCAAGGTCAAAGGGTCAAAGTTGTTGGTATCCAAAGGAAAGTCTTGTCACAAGGATTACACATGTGAAGTATGAAAGCCCTAGCACCAACCATTAAAAAGTTATGGCCAAGGTTAAAGTTTTTTTGAAAGTAGGTCAAAGTTCTAGGTCAAGTTCAAAGGGTCAAAGTGGTTGGTATCCAAAGGAAGGTCTTGTCACAAGGATTACATATGTGAAGTATGAAAGCCGTAGCACCAACCATTCAAAAATTATGGCCAAAGTTAAAGTTTTTCAAAAGTAGGTTAAACTCCTAGGTCAAGGTCAAAGTGGCTGGTATCCAAATGAAGGTATTGTCACAAGGAATACACATGTGAAGTTTGTAACCCCAAGCACCAACTGTTCAAAACTTATGGCCAAGGTTAAAGTCTCATAAAAAATTGCAAAAGTGGGTCAAACCTTAAGGTCAAGGTCAAAAGATCAAATATGATGGTACCAAAAAAAGTCTTGTCACAAGGACTACACGTCAAATATGAAAGTCATAGCTCCAACCAATCAAAAGTTATGGGCAAGGTCAAAGCTTTTGTGGACAAACAGATTTACAGACAGACAGATGGACGGACAGGGCAAAAACTATATACCCCCGAATCTTCGATACGGGAGCATAAAAATGGAGCAAAGACTTACTCATTTGGAAAAAGTATAAATAAATGATCACTTTTTACCTCTGGAGTGTGTATGCATTTCACAGACAAATAATTTAAATCTTTGTGAGATTGTTGCAAATTGTGGAGATTTAACATAAAGTGTATGTTAATGATAAATGAAATATGAAAGAAAATTTTGTCATAATCAAATTTATTCTTTTACCGGTACTTTTTAGCTCACCTGAGCCGGAGGCTCAAGTGAGCTTCTCTGATCGAAATTTGTCCATTGTCTGTCGCCGTAGTAAACGTTTCAAATTTTCATCTTCTTCAGAACTACAAGGCCAATTTCAACCAAACTTGGCATAGAGTATTCTTGGGTAAAGGATATTCAAGTTTGTTCAAATGATGGGCCACACCCTCTTCTAAACAGGGATACATGTAATTTTAAAAAAGTGAAAATTGGATGGGGTCATTTAAAAACCTTCTCGATAACCACTTGGCCAGAAAAGAAAGCTTCCTGTCATAGTGTAGATTTACATTTTAATGATCAGGTAGACTTGTAAATAATAGATGAATAAAAATGGTATAAAATAACTTACTAGTATCTTCAAAGACCAAGAGAGCCCAATGTGAGAGGTTGTGATGCAGGGTTAAAAATAGTACAGAAGCACCAATAGTTTGTTAAAATTAAGTCTGCATGGTGATTAGTGATAAATGGGGGATGGAATAGAACTTAATTTATGAGTTGTTACTGAATACTAGATTTATTATTTCATTGATCATCCCATTTCTCTTGCTTTTGGGCAACAAAGCTTCATCTTTCAGTTTATTTTATACTCTATGGATCCTCTAAATTAATGTATTTTACTCAGGTTACCATTAAAGCCCTTAGGTCTCCTGTATAAAAGCATCCATAGGTAGTGTAGATTCAAATTGTTTAAATTATGACCCCCAGGTGTAGGTTGAGCCACTATGGGCAGTCAAAGTTTTACAGGGGTATTACTAGAAAAATCTCAAAAACAACAAAGTCATGATCAGTCATATTTATATAGAAGCATTTTCAGATAGTGAAGATTATAATTTGTTCAAATCATGACCCTTTGGAGTGGGGTGAAGCCTAGTGGGAGATCAAAGTTTTACATAGAAATACTTGGAACAATTCTAAAAATCTTTTTCCCAGGAACACAAAAGCCATGATCATATTTAAAAAAAAAAAAAAAAAAAAAAAAAAAAAAAAAAGCATTCTTACAGGTATTGTAGATTCAAGTTTATTCAAATCATGACCCCACCCCAGAGGATAGGGTTGGGCTACAAAGGTGATCAAGTTTTGCTTGCGAATATATAGGAAAAAGAATTCGTGATGAAGATCAAGAAGGGCCATAACTCAAGTGAGTATTTTATTGATTAACATTGCATTGTAGTGCAGTGCAATAAAATGCAGTTAAAGTCTTATTATGATAAACAGTATAAATTTAATTCTCTTGCAAACAAAAAAAAATCCACTCATCAGTCAAAAAGGAGTGTTCATTTCTTTTGGATCCTTTGCGCATACCCAAACTAGTCATTCGATAAAAAAAAAAACCAGCAACACGTAACTTTACGAAAGTCTTTCGACTTAATTATACCCCACGCAACAAGTTGCGGGGGGTATAATGTTTTTGACCCGTCCGTCAGTCAGTCCGTCAGTCCTTTTTTTTTTTTTTTTTTTTTTTTGTCAGCGCAACTCCTCTTAAACTGCTGCACAGAATTTCGTCAAACTTTGCAGATATTTAGGCAACAATGTGTAGATTAGCATATTACCAGAAATTCCGATTCCATTATTTTGCCCTAAGAGTTTTGCCTATTATTGAAGAAACTTTCCAGCTTGGTAATAAGGAAATCCACTGGAATCAGCTTTTGTAATGAAATTTTATGCGAAATATGTTATGACCTTAAAAGACCCCTATTGATTTTGAGATCAAAATATTAATGATTTAACACACACACACACACCCTCTCTCTCACACACACAAAATCTTGGATAGTTCTCAACCCCCCCCCCCTTCAAATTGGTGCTTTGCCTTAATTTTATAAGTACAGTATATAAACAAATCCATATGAATACGTCATAATTTTGTTTCCATCAATTATTAAAATGTGTAAATTGTCATGTGTTGGATATGGACTTACACTCATTAACAAATTGAAATCACTGAAAAATTTAAATAACAGTTTGTCAGCATAACTCCTGCATTGAATTTCCTGAAACTTTGTAGGTATTTCAGACATAATGTGTAGATTTGTATATTACCATGAAATTTTGATTCCATTATTTATCTAGAAACTTCAGCCCAATTAAATTTGTAACATACAAAGATATGAATGTCCTTATATGCAAGAAGTTTTGATATAATGACTTTTTTGCAAGTAATGCCCATTTTTGAATTATACTGTGTATTTAAAATGCACTGTGCCATTCATTACGTGTTGCATTGTCGAGTTTTGGGGGGTAAGCTTGCTCACTTTTTCTTTCATTACTGATTGTAAATTTTGATTCATATCAAAGAAAACAAATATTTAAGAATAAGAGAATAAAAAAAATGCTATCTAGTCTGTTTTTGAAACTTTTTTTCAAAGCATAAAATGAAAAAAAGTCTGTGTATTCAATCAGTTTTTAAATTCAACTAAGAAAAAAAATTGACTAAGTTAATTTTGATTGGACAATTTGGCAGGCATCACAATGTATCGCATTGTATTGCAGCAGAGTGCAGGA